AGGAGTAGAGTACTCTAGCCCTAGGGCTCTAGTAGAGTATAAGTCTGCTAGGAGTCTAGGGCTAAAGTGCCTTCTATAGGTACCCCTAATATTTAAGTTATTATTAATAGAAGCTTAAGTTATAATTCTAATATAATATAATATTATATAATATTATATATTTTTTATAATAAATATAAAATAAAACTTAAATTAATTACTATTATAATAAGGAATATATTTATAAATATAGAATATTTATCCTTATATATTTATTTATCCTATCTTTATTATTAAATAATAAACTTATATTAAATAATTTACTTATTAATTATTAATAATTTATAAAATTAAGATTATAGTATAGTAGTTTATAAGCTAGCCCCTAGCTTATTATTATATCCCTAGTAAGTTAATAACTTACTACTATATCTAGGTAAGCTATTATATACTCTATTTAGTAGGTCCGTTTCTTATCTTACTATATTCCTTAATCGTAGGGTTAGTAACTTATAGCTACCCTACTTCCTTAGTTATTATAATAAGGTCTAATATAACTCTTCTTTTATATTTATAATAATTAGTATATTAAATACTTTTATATTATCTAAGAGGAATAAGTTAATCTCTTACTACTAGTAAGCTAAGCCCCTTAATAGTATATCCCTTATAAAAGCTATTATATTATAATATATATTTCTTTACCCTATTATTACTCTACTAGATTATCCTATCTTTTAATACTAGTCTCTATAGATTAGTTTCTACTATAAATAGATATATAGTCTTATAACTTTATAATAACTCTATAGTATCTACTTTAGATTCTATTACTACCCTTATATTCTTTATATTTCTTATTATTTTCAGGAAGTTATTCATGAAACTTCTACAGTCAACGTCTTTTATCGAGAGCTCCAATTTAAGTGGAGCCTAGGCGGCCACGATCGAGCCATGCATTTTAAGATCATGTTTCTATTCAAATCTCAACCCCAGGGTATTTGAGGAGTTATACTGAATGAAGGTCTTGGTGCTCTGGTAACTCAATTTCCCTGACCACTGCAAATCGCAGCATCACATATAGTCGGGAATTCATTGGCCAAAGGAGGATCCTCCGAACGCTTAGTCAGCACCACATACCAGACATGCCTGAGGACATCAAACCTCTTTTCTACGGACTGCTGCTGGTCCCAACGACATCTATCCCCAGTCCATGAAGCTGTCTTCTGGATTCGATTGGTTTTCGTCATCGACCCCTCTCGCCCGTAGGCTCCCTCCTCACGAACCAGATCCGCCACGCTGTTCATTGTGCTGCTTCGTAAGCCAGCATCTCTCAACATATCACCATGTCGACGCGACAAGCTGCTCTGTGAGCCACATCAAGTATCCCTCGAGCAACCACAATGTTCCTAACGTGTCCCTTGAACAGGTCGCTCTACCGACGGTCTCTGAAGCTCTCACTTGACTGGGCAGTCCACCGTCATCTTTGGAGAGGCCAGGCGCTCTACATCCGGTCTCTCTTTGAGGCGAACCGGAAGGTTACGGACGCGCGCCAGAAGAGGGTACGATACAATTCATCACGACAATGCCCCATCCGCCAAGCTTTAGACTGACTATGTACCGAACAGGAACTGCTAGCAGAGACCGAGAAGCTTCTGGAGAGATGGAAGCACCCTGATCCGTACACTCCGCCAACCGCACCTGGTGGTATGTGTCCCCGTGGATGGAATTGTGTTTCTTCACCCTGAATGTTAACCCAACTATTCCAATGCAGGTTCGAAATATGAGAGAAACCTCCCTCCGCCAATTCTTGAGCGTACGTTTCCCGAAATATTTCGTTTGCCGCCACCAAATAACATGAAGGCTAACTTACTCGTAGCTCCTCCCCCACTCAAGTTCTGAGCATGCAACCGGTATTAATGATGTGGAGATTAGCTTGGTAGTAAAACTAGTGTATATAAGACCGTCAGAAACAAGAAAACGGTGCTCACAATCCGTCAGGAGGAGACATTTTCGCTCCTATTTTGAATCGTCTCGACGATGGCGCAAAATGCTAGAGTCGTGCAAGGCACTGTGGCTAACACGACGGATCGATGCCAAACACGAAAGACTGGCAATAAACCCGAAATGGATAACCGAGTTTACGCACTCGCGTTTTCTTACCCTACACCTATATCCAAAACATGTGAGACGGGATAAGTTTACGGAGCAACCAAGAAGCAATAATCGTGGAATGAACTTCTGAAGGTATTCTCATTCATCACCATGCCGGCCTTAAAAGCCGTGGGGGATTATTGTACAACCCAAACGCGAAAAATCAACCCTGAACCCTGAACCGAGACCCCGATGTCATGACAACCCAAAGCGCAGCCGACCAGCAGGAAAGAAAAGCCAAAACCGCCACCAAGATTACAGCTCTTGGCTCTGGTTCTTGCCAGTCTTGCCAGACTTCTTAGGCAGAAGGTCTGTGATATACTGTCAGAATATGTGGTAGTTGCATACATTGATGAAGACTCACTCTGATGGATGTTGGGCAAAACACCACCTTGTGCGATGGTGACGTGTCCGAGAAGCTTGTTCAACTCCTCATCGTTGCGGATGGCCAGCTGGAGATGACGAGGAATGATACGAGTCTTCTTGTTGTCGCGGGCGGCGTTGCCGGCCAGCTCGAGAATCTCAGCAGCGAGGTACTCGAGAACGGCGGCGAGATAGACGGGGGCGCCAGCACCAACACGCTGAGCGTAGTTGCCCTTTCGGAGCAGACGGTGGACACGACCGACAGGGAAGGCCAGGCCTGCCTTCGATGAACGACTGCAAACGAATGTTAGTACCAGATAACACGTCAAGCAAAGCTGGCCGATGCGAACCGGCACAGCATGCAAAGCGAACGGGCTACTTACGACTGCGCGTTCTTGGAACCGCTGGCCTTACCGCCGGACTTGCCGCCTCCAGTCATTTTGATGAGTAGTTGATTTGGGAGAAAAAGTTGGTTTCAGTTATTGACAGCGGAGAAGACGCGTCTGGGTAGCTGTATGTAGTGGAGGGTGAGAATGGGAAAGATGGATGAAAGGGGAGAGCGGGACGTCGGCGGGGGTTACAGAAGTTAAGTAGTTTTCGCGTCGGATCAGTGAGCTCCCAGATCACCAAGCGTGTTTGGGGGCTAGTCCCGATTGGGCCACAGCCTGTTGTTGTCGACGTGCATCATTATTGGGGTCGCACCTGCACCATTATTGGAAAGGTGCACGAAAGGTACGTACTCCCCGGCCCTCAATGCTCAGACACCTGGCAATTAGGTGCCTGGTGTTCAACGGTGTATATACCCAGCCCCTCCCTCTGCTTCTCCCTCCGCAAGCCCCTCTTCCCCCTGCGCATTTCTCTCCCCGGTGACTGGATCAATACTCCCCGCTACTGGTTCTTACGAAGGTGCTCATTTTGCCAATGGAGGTTCTTGTTGAGTAACCGCGCTGACCTGCGGGTTTGAACACCGGAAACCCTGTACAACGAGTTATTGAGCACCAGGTACTTGTCCTCGAAGTAAGAGGACCTCCAGTCCTCATTATCTAACCTGAAGCACCAAGGTTCTGGTATGTATATCTTTTGTTGAATCGATGATCGTTCTGCGCGTTCCGTCTTCGGTGTAAGCCTCCACGGGGTGGCCGAGCCTTGTACAGCACGGGTCGCAACTGGCATATTTTTCTGTTCCTTAGTTTGTAAGGAGCTTTGATCGTTTGCCCCACAAAGTGATGCTTCAATTCTTCTTCTTCACTTATGGGGACTGCGGAGTGGGCGGGACATTGTAAAATACATGGTCGGATATCTGCCACCTTCGCGCTTCAGCCTTGTCTACCTTTGCCAAGGCGCTGCAACCAATTTCACGCGTTGCTCTGTTCCGTCAAGTGGCAGCAGCCCCTGCAGCCGGTCCGGCAAACAAATGACACATGGGCTGTGTTCCCATTTGATGTCTTGTGTGGATTCGTGGTCAGTATGTGATCTGGTGGCCGCAAGATAAGCTCGCAGATGGACTTCACTGGCCTGGTGGATAGTTTTGCAATACTGCTTCGAGCTGTATGTAGCGCTGGACTAGCGCGTTCGAGTGGCCAGGATGCTGGCACGATTATTCGGGACCCCTGCAAACCAACCACGTCCCGTCACGCATTTTCTGGCGCGTCGCAGCAACCAGTACCCCACCCGCGCTTTCCCCCCCAAGCCACGCCTCCCCGAATCACTCTCCTCTGTGCACCCAGATCAGTAACGGCGCTAGCGCCCGTCGCGTCCAGCTACAAAAGCCCACGGCCACCCCCCGTTCTCCATCTCCATCACCATCTCTTCCACTTTTCACATCCACCAGCTGTCCCAACAACGATTAACTGCACCCGCCCAACCGCATCCATCTGATACTTTCAACGAATTTCAAATCATCCACACACAGTCCGTCAAAATGCCCCCCAAGGCCGCCGACAAGAAGCCCGCCAGCAAGGCCCCCGCTACTGCCTCCAAGGCTCCTGAGAAGAAGGATGCCGGCAAGAAGACCGCTGCCAGCGGCGACAAGAAGAAGCGCACCAAGACTCGCAAGGAGACATACTCTTCTTACATCTACAAGGGTTCGTAGTAGTAGATGCCCTCCCTTTCCTTCGGCTCATCGCGTTCTCACCGCGTGTTGTGCGCCCGGTCCGCTTTTCTCCACGCGTCTGTTCTAACACCGATTTAGTCCTCAAGCAGGTCCACCCCGACACTGGTATCTCGAACCGTGCCATGTCCATCCTGAACTCTTTCGTCAACGGTAAGCTCCAGACCCCAACCGCGACATCTGCGGATCTAATACTTCATTAGACATTTTCGAGCGTGTCGCCACCGAAGCCAGCAAGCTTGCCGCCTACAACAAGAAGTCCACCATCTCCTCCAGGGAGATCCAGACCTCGTAAGTTACACTCTATGCTCCCGGTCAACGCTTGTTCTAAACATAACCAGTGTTCGCCTTATTCTCCCCGGTGAGCTGGCCAAGCACGCCGTTTCTGAGGGCACCAAGGCCGTCACCAAGTACTCCTCGTCCACGAAATAAGCGACTTGTTCGCAGTGTTTTTCTTTTCGGGCATTGGATTTGCTTGACACTGGGTGTCTTGAGTTGAGACCCGTCAATCGATTCAGCTTGGCTTTGGGTCTCTTAATGCGTTACGGATGGTCTGCTTTTTTGGGGGCAATGTCTTCACGGTCAATCGGGGTTCGCGGCTGTACTATACCTTGAGAATAGGGTTTCGGACGAAATGAAATCGTGCATATGATTTTCATCAACACCAGACTCGCGCATCTGCACGCCAGTGTATGCTTTCTGCCATTGAGCAACTTTTACAGGATGCATGATATGTCGATCTCGGCTTCGTGTAGTGTCGAATCGACCGGGATCAGCCAAGGCCGGCCTTGCCTCTTTTAACCTTTTGCTCGACAGGTTGCAGGATGCCCTTGTTATCCATAGACCCCAAGGCTGTTCCTGTACTCCAGCCCATCTTCTCCAACATAGCGCGACCGCGGTTTTCTTGACCCAGTTCCGGAGCAGAACCTCCAACGACCTCGCCATCACGATAGCCTGTATCCGGCTGACCACCACCACGACGTGCGGATCCCCGACCGCCACCCCATCGCGAGCCCAGATCCTTACGAGGGAAGTATTTGCGGCCCACACGACCAATGGCTTGGTCAAAATTGTCCGCTGAATACTGCAAGGTTCTGGCCGTTCTGTACAGGGTAGGCCGGCGTTGGTCGCCGGATCCCGTTGACTTGGACTTGATGTTGAACTTGTTGGCCAACTCGTGCAATACCTTCCTGGCATGGTTGTCCATTGGAGGCAGTGCCAAGCTTTTGAGTTCGAACCGGTCAGCTGAAGACATGGGTGTAGGTTATCGGTGGCACACTCACCTTGCCTGACTATTCTTCAAGAAGTTTTCGAGTTCTTGGGCAATCTGCTCGATGCCCATACCTTGCGGATACTTGACACGTAAGTCCTCCGGTTTGCTCTTCTTGCCGAGTAAGCCTTGCGCGCGCAACTTTTCGCGCTCTTTCTTTCTCTCGGCTTTTTTGAGTCTGTCGTTGTTGTATGTGGACTGCAGGACAGCCTCGAGTTCAGAATCCGATACGTTGAACACCGGGAGCTTCCCCTTTTTCGGTTTACGTGTGCGCTTGGTGATTGCATCGCCCCATTCCATGAAATCAAGATCATCGTATTCGTCATCTTGCGAGCTGTATGCATCGGTTGCCTCGCCCGAAGCAAGCATTTTGGCAAGAAGAAAGTCGCTATCGGTCAACCTTGTATGTGCCTCATGCTGCTTGAATTCGTGATCCATAGCGTCAAGATCGTCAATGGATTTCGAGGACCCGGCTAGGGAAGCAGCATCTCCACTCAGCCCTGACTTATCATCATCCTGCGCTGAATGCAAGCCGTTCTCCACGTGCATGTCCATGTCCGAACCGCCAATATCACGTTTTGCATGACCTTGACTCGTGATCAAGCCCAGATCATCGCCATTTTCGCGCATGTTGTCAATGTAATCAGCCAGTATTGCTTCCTGTTCCTTACTGGTGTCCTCTGTTTGTCTTGGGTCGCCATTCGCTCTCACCTTGTGTTTCTGGCTTTTTTTCCTGTTCTTACTAGGCAAGTTTGGCGACGGTACTTGAGTTTCCACTGCCGCAGGGCCACGAATATCGGGATCCATAACGAGCTGGTGTACCTCTTTTTGAATGTCCCTGAGATCGAAAGCCTTCTTTTGCTGCTTCGCATGAGGCCTATTTGGCTTCTGTGGGACGATTTGACGACTCTTTGGCCCCATTTTGTTACGTCCTCTAAACAAGATGACCTCGTCGCTCGAATCGCCACTCGACTCTAGTGTGGATAGCTGCTGAGTATCCTCGGGTACACTTTTCTGACGGCGGTGTGAGGGATCTCCGTTGGTGTCGATGAAGAAAGTCAATGGACTTGATGGGGGCTCAGTCATTGCGACAGCAACTTCATTGGCCTCGGCAGAAGCAAGGTTATCTTTGAGCGCAGTTGAATTGAATATTGGAGACACTGGCCTGCTGTGCTGGGACGCATAATCCTCTTCGACATGATCTGACGTGGATCCCAAGCCTTCCCAGGGGCCAGCTGATGGAATATCAAACGTTGGGCACTGGACAACCATGGGAGTCATATGATCAGATACTATGTCGGCTTGTTGGGGGGTGACATCTAGCATGGACGTGGGTGCCTGGCGCGACAGGCCATCCAGAGCGTCATTGGCCTTGGATTGTAGATCTCTTTCCAGGCGTTGGAGCTGGTCTTCTAGCTGTTTGAGAGGATCGACAGCCCCCGCACTCACAAAGTTGACGGGCTGGTTGCGAAGCCGAGTGCCAGCACTCCAGGGAGTATGTCCATGAGCTGTTGATCGAGCCTCGTCGGCTAGTGAGAAGACCGTCGGAGCTAGATAGGTGTTAGTCGTTGGCATACAAGGTCGATGAGCCAGGATATCATTCGATGTCGCATATCGCTACTCACTGTATGATGGCTCTGTTGCATACGACTGAGCATCTGCGAGGCCCCGAGAGGAGGGGTTGCGGCCTGCACCGCCTCTACTCGAGCCTCTACGACTTCCACCTCTAAAACCTGGTCGTGGCATGCTGATTTATGAACAATGGGTGAGTTCGGGGTGGCCACGGTTCTTTGTACAAGTTTCATGGACTGGGAGAAAAAGGTCCCGTGTGGCAAATCCATGCGCAGATGGAACCCACTTTATACGAGTTTGGGTAAACGAGTTTAAAAGCAAGGGTTACGAGCGGAATGATGATGATAATGACCGTAAGATCACAATCTAGTCGTCCTCGCAATGACATGGACCCCCAATGTTTCAAGGACAGGTATAATTGATTAGGTAAACGCGCAAGGTAGGCAGAGCCTGACTGGAGTCGAGGCAGAAAGAAGACTAGGGCCCACCGACTACATGTACAGCATCATATACTGGTGTAGGGGCTTAGGTAGACGTGCTATTTTAGCAGGCGCCATGGCTCGACCTGACTCTGACCTACCTAGGTAGGTAAGGTTTCTTAGGCATATCATCGAATGATACGGTGCAAGCAAAATATTCATCTACAGGACATTTTGTACCCTTGAGCAAGGATTTGACGATATCATACAAGACTTCCCCTACGGTATCAACATTCATAGATTGCAATCAAAGTCACCAGGCCGACTCGAGCATGTGATCTAAATAGTGACTAAAGCGCGTTAATCCAGGTCGCTAAATGAGTATAATTGCCATCAAGCCTCACGGGCCTATGAACCTTGGTGTTGTTCCAACACCTCTCTCTAGGTACCTATATGGCGAAGTAGAAAACAATCACGTGTGTACAGTGTGAACAAACACCGGCACGCTGCGTCTAAGCGCAACCCAATCATTGTCTTATCTTATCTCGCCCCTCAACTGCGTCACAGGATCAAGCAGCTCGGAGCTGACCGTGATGTTGATTCTACCTGGATGCATCTCCTGGCCATCCCACGGATGAGCCTTTCTCCCCGAGGAAACACACTATACCGCCACCGCAAATGCGGCAGTGTTGCCTTTCAAATAGTCGCTAGTGCAGATACTTGTCATCTGTTTGACAACGAAAGTTCTAGCCCCCAAGTGTACAACAAGACACAGCCTTCTACAACCGATCGCCCATACTCTCGACACATATAGCGGTCCTCGGGCGAACATGGAATCAAATATACCCGGGGTTGACATGGGTCGTTATCGCCGCATAGTGCAGATGTTCTGGGACCCTGAGCCTTGCAATGACCAGGTTGACGATCAACCTGCGTGGTGTCTGGGCAACTCGTATACCTTGAACCCGAAGGACAGTCGAACAAGACTAGAGACCGGCCATGCTACCTCGCACCTGGTAGCAGACAGAGAAGCGCAAACGAAACACGGAGATACAGTAGTCCCAGGAAATGCCCCGGAAACTCCACCGGAGTCGCAAACGAGCAGCTTCTCTTCTTCTTCTCTCGCTTACGAAGAGGCCATGAATCAAGACGGAGGGTGGCCGTCAGCGTTCTTGGATGACTTTGAATCTAAGTTTTGGATGACATACAGATCCGACTTTGAGCCTATTGCAAAGTCTACTGATCCTCGTGCAGCATCGGTCCTCTCGTTATCAATGCGGATCAAGAGCCAGTTCATGGATCAAGCCGGATACTCATCTGATACTGGATGGGGTTGCATGATTCGATCAGGACAAAGCCTATTAGCCAATGCCATGGCTGTTTTAGACCTTGGTAGAGGTATTCGTGCATTCTCCCTTCTGCTCAGACATATCTAACGATCAACTATAGATTGGCGTCGCGGTGTCGTACCAGAGAAAGAGCGACAGCTACTGTCCAAATTCGCCGATGATCCGAAAGCACCCTATTCAATCCATCGTTTCGTACAGCATGGCGCGGTCGCGTGTGGGAAATATCCTGGGGAGTGGTTTGGCCCTTCAGCTACAGCCCGATGCATCAAGTAAGCTACCCAGCCTGTAGAACCCACGAACCAGGTTCGCCTCGAACACTGACACTCTCCCACAGAGCCTTGGTCAATGCGACTGAGACCCATCTTCGAGTGTATTCAACTGGCGATGGACCGGATGTATATGAAGATAGGTTCTTGGACATCGCAAAGCCCAGCGGGGAAACATTTCATCCAACTCTCATCCTTGTTGGGACGCGGCTCGGCATCGACAAAATCACACCTGTATATTGGGACGCGCTCATTGCAGCCTTACAGATGCCGCAATCAATTGGCATTGCCGGGTAAGTGAGCACCTCGGGTGGTTGATAATATTTTCTAAATCTCTTGCAGCGGGCGACCTTCATCGTCGCACTATTTTATCGGAGCACAGGGCTCTTTTCTTTTCTACCTCGATCCCCATCACACCAGGACCGCACTACCATATCACCAGGATCCTACCCTGTACGCACAGGTGGACGTGGATTCTGTCCACACTCGCCGGCTTCGCCGACTACACGTCCGAGAGATGGATCCCAGCATGCTGATCGGTTTCGTCATCCATGATGAGGACGACTGGGATGAATGGAAGCGAAATGTCAAGCACGTCCAGGGCAAGGCCGTCATCCACGTAGCAGACTATGATCCTGTCCATCACGGAGCAGCCGGGGGTCGTGCGGGTGCCATCGATGAAGTCGAGCTGCTGAGCGATGACGACGAAGGCATTGTTTCGGGAGCCTGAATGGCCCTGCTGTCCACACAACAGTAGTACGATGAAGTGGTAGCATATCACTGGTGTGTCTCTTGGGCGTTAGGTTGAGCCGAGGATATTCACGGATTGACGCATCTAAAGATAAGCATGCGGTGGTGTTTATGGAGTGGGTCTTGGGTCTGCTTTTATGGAGTTGTATGATCTATCTATCGATATTACTGTGGTTCCTTTCGATTGATTCCTATTTGGTGTGAAGGTCCTTTCACCGCAGCATGGTGGTTCATCGCTTCTTTTTCCGCGTCTTCGTGTTGGGTATGCCTGTGGTTTTCGGCGCGGCATGATCTTCATCACGTATGTGGCTGAACAGTTTTGTTTTGGATGGAAATGCCTCATGGCACACACCGCAAAGATGTTGTGGCTAGAACAAATGGTTAGATTCGAGATCCAGGTTCCACTCAACGATCAGAGTTCACAAGCACATACCTCTTCAAGTTGTGCAGCAGCCTCACGTGCCGCCTTTTTCTCCCGCTTGGCTTTCGCCTTGCCTGGTTTCTTGGCAGGTATGTCGAGGTGATTCCTTTCATCCACACTAAAACCGCTATCTTTGTCTGTGTTTAGTATGTAGTTGCCATCCAGCCCATCTTTAGTGTCTCCGACGCCCGCAATTCTTCCCTCAACGACAGCACGAGATGCGTACTCGTCATCGTCGTCATCGTCACCGTCGTCGTCGTCAGTATTCGATACGTTGTCGACATAGTCACCATCTGTGGGCAATACTGCTGTCTTGGACTCCCCGCCTCCAGCCACGTGTAAGTGCGTCTGCACATCGTGTACGTCGAGCCCGTCAACAGACCTCACCTCCTCATCCCCAGAGTGAACCATTTGGTCGCCGCTGTCCCTGAGGTCTGCTGCAGTCTCACCCGAGGTCCCTGGAAGAACCTCAACATTCATGTCCACATCTTCTGCCCGCATCTGGCGCCGAAGCTGCTGGACTGCTTTGAGATGCTTCTTGCTCCTCTCGTGTGCCTCAAATGACTTCTCACTTTTGAAAGTCTTATCGCAGACGACGCACTCTATGTGCTCAACTTCGGACTCCTCTTCGCTCTGGGTAAAGCTACCCGCATCGGCATCATCTTGTCGAGACTGGGCCCATTCGGGCACCAAATGATCCTCCGCCAACTTCTCCATGTTCGCGGCCCGAGACCGCGCTGCTTGTGCAGCAGCAGCATTTCGCAGCGCAGACTGGCGTTCGGCATCAGTTTGCGAGTTCGGGAGATAGCGGGGGTCGCGCTTTCGGGCAAATGTGACGAGAAACCTGACCGCATCGTTGAACTCCTTGATAGCATCGTCGCGCATCTTTTTATTCTCCTTCTCCATAGCCCGCCGCACGCGGCGATCTGGGGCATCGGAAAGTCGGTATTTATCCTTCCAAGCGAATGTTTTTACAGTAGAGAAGCCCGCCCAATTTGCGTAGAATGCCTTAACATTGGGCTCATACTCATCGCTCGATTCACCGAACGAGGGATAGTCAACCCTATGAACAGAGTTGGAATCCCTGACAGCGTCTTCCTCATCCGCCAAATGAGCGAATGTTTCGTTTAGTATACCATAAAATCCCATGGGATCATCGGTGAACGGCACCGTCGAGTTGAAGCGGCGGATGAGCGAAAGGATATCCTCCGTAGACGTCAGGCGTACATTGTTGAACTCGGGGGGGTGGTCGTAATCATCGGCCTCCGCGCCTCGCAATATGGCCTCTCTGTGCGAATCGTACCAAGCCCTCTCCTGAGGGTCGGATAGAACCTCATAGGCAGATTGGATCTCGGCGAAGCGACGGGTGGCATTTTCGACATCGTCGTAGTTTCGATCCGGGTGGAGCTCGAGCGCTTTCCTTCGATAACTCTTCTTAATCCTATGAAAATATCAGCAGGGCATAGAATACGGAGGCGACAGCTTTACTCTTCGTCGGTAGCTTCACGATCGACTCCAAGGAGTTCATAATAGCATATCTTAGCTACCGCAAGGCCACCACCAGATTGTTCCTCGTGGCGATCCGAGGACTGCTGGGCGCCCATTGCGAAAAATGATATGTGGCAACCTGCCGCCAGGGCTCTGTGTTTGAGCGACTATAGTGGCGGTAAGGAGCGCTTCAACGCGGCAGCGTTCGCGTTGCGTTTGGTAAGAATATGTACAGTCACAGGTTGTGTCATCAATGCCATCATCATGGAAAAGAACCAAAGGCTTGTGATCAACCCCCACCTTGCCCCGCGATGTTTGCACATACCACCAGCCGACCATTGGTAGGCGGCTGTCCTGGCACAGTGCTGATCGACCAGCCTGTTATGTGGGGTTCTGACACTGTCTGTCAGCATGCTACAGGCCGCGGCGTGCCTGGCAGTAAGGTCAGAGGCTTTAAGAAAGCCACTCGAACAGGTGTTCAATTGTGTACTTGCCATGGTCAGACATACGGGGGCTTTAGCTCCTCTTCTACGAAGGCACCGAAGCTCTTGTCTTGGTTTGTCGAGCTGAGTGCACAGACAATGTTGCGGCAACACATTTATCGTTGACTACCTAAGTATGTACATCGAACTAACAAACAGGCATGAGGGATGGGACGCGAGGTCGGCTGAGAAGTACGAGGTCACACGGGCGTGGCCGGCATAACATGGGGACACAATTTTCACCCCATTACGCAAGACAGCCATCATAAAAATTAGTTCATTGGAGTTTGCGAGGGCCAGGGGCTGCCCCTGCACTACACATGTGGGAGGGTGCGACTGATCCGACCCGGGATCGCGGCTGGGCTATGCCCTGTGAGGCATGGTGCGCAGGAACTTGGGCAACTGGGATCCAGACTGGCCTATGGCTCTGCTTTGCATGTTAAGCAGTGTCGCGACTCATCGCCTGACCCGGTACAAAAGCACCTCACCTGCCCCATATCCTGCCCCCCTCCGTCGCCCTTGGAAATGAAGGCGAATGAAGCGTGACCACCGACGTGACAATGAAGTTCGCACACGACTTCAAAGAGACCCTTTCGCGTGAAGGTAGGTACGTCCTCATGCTCAGCATCAATGAGCTGAGTTGACCGTGACTCTCGCTGACATGCACGTCACTCACAGGGTTCCCTTCACACTGGGTCGAGTCGGCCATACCATACAGCCAACTGAAAAAGGTGCTGAAGAGAGTCGCCGGCGAACTAAACGATCTCGGCTTGGACCCTGAGACGTTGCGCCAGCTGCTTGATCCCCAAAGCGACTCCCCTTTGGTCATCGAGTATGGCTTGAAAGGTACGCGATCCGACTCGATCACTCAATCCCCTACTCAATTTGTTGACACAAACCAGTCGCTCAGGGCTCGGAGTTTCTGAGGCCCCAGCTCACTGTACTGCTTCACCTCCAGGATGGAGTAGCAGTGGATGTATCTTTGTCGTCAAGTTCTCGAACCTTTTTGGAACACATCTCATCTTTGCAGGCAAACTCGCCACGGCATCCAGCGCTGCCATTGGAACGATCACTAGAACCACCGAAAGAAGCGTCAACAGATGACGCGGCGACTTCTGAATCGCATGCTAGCTTCGCCAAGCTAACTGAGCCCGCCGATTTGGATCGTTCAGGCGAGGCAATTTCCACAAGCGCCTCGCCGGCCAACCCTCTCTGCAAGCAGCTTGAGGTTCCGCTCGTCTTTGATGGCAAGTTCTTCGACATGCTGCAGAGCGATGTCAATGGCCTAGACGCCCTACAGGCTAGTGAAGAGGTCGCCATGACCAAGGAGATCGTGGCTCTCGGGCAGGACGTCTCCCAACTCACCAAACCTAGCCGGCTTTCGAAGAGCGATCTTGCGCGATGGCGAACCATTTTCGAGCTCTATCTCGAAGCCCAAGTCTTTTTTTCCGTCTACGAGCAGGACCACGGTACACGCGACAGCCACTCGGCCTCACGCCAGCTGCAGTGGTTCCAGGGCGAAGTCACAAAGCGGAATCTCGCTCGCCAGTTCAAAATGTCGGAGAGCCGAGAGGCGCTTGTTCGCTTCCTTCGTCTCAACGCCCTGCTTCTGAAGAACATCCAATTTCAGGAGATCAACCGCACCGCCATTCATAAAATTCTCAAAAAATTTGACAAGCGCACGTCTCTGGGCGTATCCAAGACGTTCCCCGCCCAGATCCGCTCTGACAAACTACTCGCTGGTACCATGGCTAGAGATATGTGTGCTCAAGTGTCCACTGAGCTTGTTTCTGTTGTTCCTCAACTAAACGACTACCTCTGCCCTGTCTGTTTCGCCATCGCATATCGCCCTGTGCGTCTGGCTTGCCAGCATATTTTCTGCATTCGCTGCATTGTCAAGATACAACGGCGGCGCGAGAAGCATTGTCCGTTGTGCAGAGCTGACGTCGTCATGGATGCTTCAGCTGGTAAGTTCCAATGTTTCAATCCTTCCGCCCCGAGGGTATATTTCAAATCTTTTTACTGATGTACATACATGCAGATAATCTGGATATCGAGTTGGATAGGTATCTACGGAAATACTTCAACAAGGAAGTGAAGGAGAAGATCCGCGCCAATGACATTGAGCGAGGCATGGAGGACTACGGCCCTGGATACACGCATTCTGATTGTGCCATTATGTAAAGCGGTCCGAGTTTGATACTCTGGCCACCGTATGCCTGTTCTCTTCACACGATGATACCCCTACCTTGAATTCAAATGCGTTGCTATACTGAATGCATCGTTCCAATCTACTGTATCCACAGTTGTGAGTCTTGAGCTGATACATGCAATGTGCTCAAGTCTCTGCCTACACATGACCATAGTCTTGGGTCATCACGGGGTTCACTTTTTATAAGTGACCCAAATATCGGATGATTTTGTTGCGCGAAGAAATGGAATAGGACCCTGCATTGAAGTGGTAAGACAGGTTCGGATCCATGTCGCGTACCGATAGACAGATCTCTGTACCATTTGCCAGGAAAAGCTGTGTGGGTTGACTTTGCCCAATGGGTCGCCTTTCACGTTCCCATAGTCACATTACACGTTGTCTCGCTGTCCCATGTTGATGGTCAGCAATTCAAACTGGGTTTTACTCTCGAGCTTCAGTGGCCCAGGCAGTATTGGCTTGTGGTCATACTGAGGCAATTCGATTTTGTTCCAAATGCTTGATTCATCTATATTTTTGCCATGCCATCTGCGGAAGCTACTCGGTTTTCTTTACATTGTTGGCAACTTCCAGAGCCCGCATAAAGATTGATTTGAGCTCCTCGGTTCCCTCCAATCCCACACTGACACGGATCAGGTCCGGGTCAACACCGAACTGGGCAGCCCATTCCAGCTCCTGGTAGTGGGCGAGTAGGACGTAGGGCGAGGTCAGAGTGAAGTTGGTCCCGAGACTCGGCCCTTTCGCAGTCTCAACGGCATCGAAGAAGGCCATGGCGCACTCCCGACGATGAAACGTGACAGACAGCAGCGCACCGTAGCCGCCATCGGGGAGTCTGCATGCCTCATAGTTGGCGCGTGTTGGGTTCACCTTGGGGTAGTAGACGCGCTTGACGAGACGGCTGGCCGAGAGGATGTCGCATAGGGCCTCCGAGTTCATATTCGTCCTCTCGATGCGAGAGTGGAAGTCGCGGCTGTTCCTCTCCATGAACACAACGTCTTCTGGCCAGTAGGTGTCTTCAAAGTTTTGCGCGTAGGCCTCACGCAGCGCGGCGTAGTATCGGCTTGCCGGGTTCAGAATGGCGCTGCCTCCCATGACGTTGCAGTCACCAGAAAAGATCTTGGTCAGACTGCTGACGACAATGTCCGCAAACTTGACCACCTCGACATTGACAAATGTTCCGACCGTTTCATCCACAACGACACCGAAATCGTACTTGTCGGCGAGTTGCCGGATGCGCACCAGGTCTGGACACGACAGAAGCGGATTGGCCGGAAACTCGCAGAACAAGGCTAGGAAACGCTCTCCGTTCTCCAGCCGATTTTCCAAGTCGTCCAGGTCTTCCGAGGAAGCATGACCGTAGAAGCGGCATCCTGGCCCGAACTTTTGCAGGATCTTCAAGGTGTCGACGTAAGGGAAACCAAAACTTATGCTCTCCAGATCACCCCTCGCACGGAGCATGGCTCGGTGGGCGTTGAAAATGGCGTTCATACCACAGGGGAAAAGATAGACGTCGCTTTCCTGCAGCTCAGAGAGACCCCTGGCGTTGGTCGTCATGGGTGGCAATGACGTGACGCTCGACTCGAGATCGGCGGCCATTGCGCCTGCGATTCTTCTGCGAATGGCTGACTTGGCACGTTCGACGAACGACAGGTCCAGGTTCCGGCCGAAGCGCTCCTCGAGAAACCGCATGCTCTCGACAGACTCGGCCGTTCCGTTCCTGTCCTTGTCCGGCGTCGTGTGAGGACTGCCGTTCGCCACAGGTGGTGTCTTCATATCGACGGATCCGCGCTGATACCTCCTGGGCCCCCTGCATGTCTTTTGCTGGTTGTTTTCCGGTGAACTTGGTCGGGACGCGGGGCAAAGGAGGCCCTCGCGGAGTAAGCCATGGCAAAATTCGGCCCGGCGACTAGAGACACCATCCCCAGAATGTTGCCAGTATTGCTTGGCCAGAGCGTACGATTCTGCTGGACATATAACGCCAGATATGGTGGGAGACAGGGCTTTGAGCTGGTTCGAAATGTCTTGAGAAGCATCGAGGCCGAGATCAACGACTTGCAGTGCGGACTTCAGCGAAACGTCGCCGTGTCGGCACATAAAGTCAACACACCGTCTGGCGGCTGCTGGGCTGGGAAATAGCATGGCTCGCTGGCCAGGGCGTCCATGAGTCTGCACAACAGCCTCAGCGAGGGCCTCGATGCTCCTGTGAACGAAAAATCTAGGAAGCGTGAGCAGGGCAGGATACAAAGGCTCGAGGACCGCACCACGAGCGTGCACATACCTTGGGTAGCCTGTTGTCAACTTGTCGATAACCCATTTCTCGCCCTCCTCATAGCCGATATTGTCCTTCCATGTAGGCAAAGACACACTCACGGCCTGGAGCAAGTCGTTGCCGAGTCAGTGAGGGATGAGTGAGGCTTCATTTAGCAGGTTTACTGACATGTGCTGTATCGGGGGGGATCGACTGGCCAAGATCGAATGTCGGCATCTTGGGGGGCACTGGTGGGCAGGTGGTTTCGTCAAAAGTGGAAAAAAAAATGAGTATATGTTGCTCACTACCAGCTCATGGAAATATTTCGGCTCGTTGGTGGTCTAATCCCGAAGCTCCAGACAGATCAGTACTCACAACAGACTCATAGTGAGTTGCAGATCCAAGAACTTCCAGCACCCGACCAATATGGTGCGGCACCGGAGCTGTCACACTGTACGCCTGAGACTTGCCAAAGGCCGATTGTCGGAGATCCATCAAATCAATCGACCAGATATGACTGACTCACACAACTGCACATCCGTCCCACCGTCTCCACGATCCAAACGACCGCAGACTTGTTGCCCCAGCGCTAGTCGCTTGCTATATTACTAAGACAAGCTAAGACGAATCTCACGGCTGGGCCAGCTGTTCATGATGGCGTCAAAACAGAGTGAGGCGACCTTGACTACTATATTCGTACCTATGTGCTGTGTCCAATTTCTGAACGCCGCCTTCCTGAGGACGACGCCAGTCAATCTGTAATTTTCTATAAATCCATGGGCCGCTCGGGCTCTAATGCCTATAGCTCCGTCATGCAAATCGTAATCCTAAGGATTGTACCTTCGTCTACTCATCTTACTACCAACACAGCTGATACTATCGCTCGGGGCGACGCTGACGACATCGTCGTCCCAAGCAGCATGGCTGCTGCCGACGCCGCTCGTGGGCAATCCAATGTTGCGTGCTGAAACATGGCTGGGCGTGCGACTGGCGTTGGGTGGCGTCGAGTACGTGTTGCCGCCCATGACGACGTCGTGCATGCCTCCCGCATGAGATGCCGCCTTGCTGGGTGCCCTGCTGGCGCTGCTACGCGCCCGACTGGGAGCTTTACTAGGTGCCCTACTTGGTATGGCAACGATGCTAGACTCCCGGACACTAGGCGCCCGGGTGGGGGCGGCAACTACACTGGGTTCACGCACGCTGGGGGCCCTGGCGCTCGGCACGGCGACGACACTGGGCTCCCGTACGCTGGGGGCTCTAACACTCGGCGCCCTAACACTAGGAGCCCTGATGCTCGGTGCCTTGCTCGGGGCGCGACTTGTAGCGCGGCTTCTTACAGCCAGCTCCGTCTCAACGGTCGGGGGAGGTGGGCCGCGAATGGTGGTGGATGAGCGTCTGCTCCGAGCCGACACGTAGGTGTCGCGGTCAGAGTCCATAATATGACCATGAACTGAGGGGACCGCTGTCGGAGGACCACGGACAGAGGGCGGTGCGGTCGGAGGGCCACGAACCGAGCGCGGGGCTGACAGAGGAGGCTGCTGCTCGACAGTGCTGTACCGGGAGCCGACATTGCTCCGATGCTCGGTGTCCATGATCATGAGCGGCCTGCGCGCGTCGCTGGGTGCTTCGCTGGGAGGGCGAGCACCACGACGGGAAGCGACGGATCGGGTGATGTGGCGGCTACGCCCGTCATCGTAGTTGTTGTCGGCGGCCGGGTCACGGGGTGCATTGGCATGGCTGTACTTGGCCAGATATTGCGGTGCCGGACGGTGGTCGGTAAGAGCAGCGTAGGCCTCCGGGTAGCGAATCTTTTCGACAGTGCGCTCAACCTCAACGTAGCGGCCACCGTCTTGCAGTGCTGGGAGTTGATCGGGATACGTAGACCTTCGGATAACGGGGGGAGGCACGGCGAACTCCTGGCGTGGAGCTCGCTCCCGCTCGCCCCTCAGCATGCTGTAGGTCAAGGCGGCACCAGCGGCAGCACCAGCGGCGGCGCCAAGTAACGCGCCAACGACGGTCGTGGTGTCGAACCCCGAGGAAGTATCGCGTGCTGTAGCGATGGGTTGCTGCTCGATAATGGAGGTTGTGACGCTGCGGCGCAGAACAGTACAGGGCTCGGTCCCGGGGCGGACTGTACGGGCAGAAACCACGGAGGCGGATCCGGGCTGCTGGCCGACCCACGGGTTGTGATCAGAGGCCGCTACGTCAAAGTTCCAGTCGAGGATGCGGCTCGATTCTTCGTGTGTAGAAAAACTCCGATGGGTGCCAGCTACTGAGCCGCCATGCTGAGAAGGGGCAGTAGGGGCACGAGAAGAGGGGTCTTGATAGACCACGTCCATGGTGTTGCCGTCGAGATCGGTGATCGACGTGCGGGTCCAGTCGCCACAACCGCGGTGAGCTTGTGAGTCGTGTGCTAGGCTAAGCCCGAGTCCCTGTCCCTGAGAGGTCACGGTCGGTGCCGCTGTCACAACCCCGGACAAAGGCGGGTTCGCCCGAATGGCAAATGCGTGGAAGTCAGCCACCGTTTGAGTCGAAGCAGCGGAAAAGGTGACGTTCGAGAGTCTTGGATGACGGGCTTCCCGGATCTGAAAAACAGGCACCGGCGGTGAGGAGGTGCCGTACGTGATGGCCGCCGGAAGCTTCTCAGACGCAGGGGCAGGCGCAGTCGCAGAGGATGACGGTGGCGATGACGGCGTGGGTGCGGGCACTGTAGCGACTTCGGCGCCGGGTTGAGATGCCGCGGAAATGTAATACAGACCCAGCGGCTGCAGAACCGCCGAGTAGAAAGAGGATGAAGACGGCAAGTGAGAGACCTCGAAGAAGGGCAGCATTGGGCTAGGGCGAGTAATCCTGGTGTGCCAGTAGTTAATGGCTGGAACCTCGTGCTGTGCGACCGTGGAGTGTGAGCCAAGATTTTGGGACGGATCAAGATTCGAAGAGGATGACCTAAATAGTGTTAAAAAAACGGAGAGAAAAGAGTCGGGAGAAATTAAAAATGAACAAGAATGATGCTGCTGTGGTTGTCGTAGAAGGCTGATGTCAAGCAAGTCGGCAGCAATCATCAGGCGATGTCGGGTCCTAGAATGCTCATATATACCCCAGGTACCTAAGGTCCGAACGAAGACAGATGAAGTACCTTTAAGGTAGCCAGGGCAAGTGAACGTATGCTGTACCTGGATGGAATCTAGACCCCAACGAGTAGGCGGGAAGGGCTCAGGCTCGGTCGGTCCTGATCACTCGTCGCTCCCAATGAATGAGTGAGCAAGTGCCAGCCGCCAAACCCGCCTCGTCCGTCGCCTGCCCGCCCGCCTGCCTGCCTGCCCGCTTGCCCGCTTGCCTCCCTACGTACCTACTTGTTTGCTGCCAGAAGGAGAGTCGGGAGACCGACCGCCTCTCTTTGGCCTGCCCCTCCCCTCACCCGCCGAATCGTCTGACCCGCCAGCCCCCTTCGAGTCGTGGGTGCAGCGAATGGAGCGCTTGCAACGAATAGGGCGGGTTGGGCGGCCACCGCGGGGCCATCCGAGCCCTCGCTGCAGCTGCATGCTTGGCCACGTTGTATCGATAGAGGAGAAGCGAGAGGATACTGTTCGAACCCTCCACTACCCACTTGGGAGTCTTGGGCTCCTCAGCTTGGTCGTACTTCGTGATAGGCCGCTCGGCCTGCCGCCTCATCGAAGGGGTCGCGACCTGGGCCCCCTATCCAACCCGCCCCCCACCAGACGACCAGTACGAGCGCGGTATCATGACGGCCCTCACTACGTGTCCATACTACCGTACCCCCGAGCCTACCCGAATTCGTACTGACTGGCCCAGCACCACACGGTCGGAGCAGTGATACTGGTGAGAGGTGACCGGGCAGCAACATGCCGCATCAAAGTATGCCTAACTGTTCGTCACCAGACTGGGCACGAGACGAATGCCAACGAGTATGCTCCGCCTCACGTCATTTGTCTAAAACATAGCCCGCACAAGACTTGTCCGCTCTGGGTTCTGCCGAGTATCTCTTGATTGTTCTACATTTACTGGCACTGCGGGCGGTCTGGGCCCCTGCATCCACTCACATTACCTGTAGTGCATCCCCCTTCCCAGCCAGAGAAGCGAACACGATGGCCGGTCAAGCCAGTGCAAAGGGGTAGGCACAATTTGTGCACGGTTTGCCTCGAGCGGACATCGTCGCCTCTCTCGAGCACTCACCGTCTCGCACCTGGTGTTCTCCATCTCCGTCACGCCCTTTAGAAGAACACATGTGACATATCATGCGCCCCTCCTTAAGGGTGCCGGCGACAATGAGGCTTACCAGGCAGTCACTTGTCCGCAGTTAAGATCAAGGTGCAAACGAAGACTCATCCTCCTCCGATCGACAAAAGACACGATAGCCTAGGTTGAATTGGCACGTGGGAACGGCAAACCCGCCAAGAGTTCCTGGTTGAACGCCCTCTTCTGCCCTGTCTGGAACAGCTGAACCAAGTCATGGCATGTTCCGTGCTCGCCCTGCTCTTGCCGCAGCTGCATTGTTGCCGCCGCCAGACTGCACGTGATACTCAGAGAACATCCCACGAGTCCTCGGCGGCGTGGCAGAACTTGCTGCAGGCAACACTGGCAGACAAGCTGAAGTTGCTTATGGCAATCTTCTCGTCCACGAGACCGTCAGCAAACGTATCAGCGCCCTTGGCCATGGCGCCAACAAAGACGCAGATGCTCTCCTTCGGGCCGAGTGTGTCAACGTAGTCTCTCACTTTTACCAGGGGCGCGTCGAAACTGAGCGTGACCTTGCGGCAATTAGGCGGGAGATGATCAGTGATGGGATTCTGGATGACGCGCAAGAGTTTCTCCTGTGAGTTGGTCGAGCGAATCGACAGGCGGTGCAGAAGTTGAACCATGAGACCGGCGAAGCGCTTGAAGGTTCGAGGGATACGGACCGAAGGCGACACTTCAATCAGAACCCCCTTTGCTGTGTGAATGTAGATCTGGAGTTTCCCGGCCTTGTTGATCGGCGAGTCCAGCAGAGTCAAGAGGCACTAAGTCAGTCAAGTCAGCATGTTGGATGCAGACGGAGGCATGCAATGCCGGCTGCGACGCGGTTGAGCGCGCCGCCGCAGAGGGTGGGAAGTTCGGACCTGGTGTGTGATATCTGGCCGGGCGTCACTAATGTCCCGATTCATCTTACGCATGATGCCAATATGTTCATCGCTGTTGAGGAGAGAATATTTTTCTTCGCGCTGGATGCCATTGCGGCCAGCACCTCCGTGGGATGCCTTGTAAGTCTCGAGACTTGCGTTCGAAAGCACAACGATCAGTCTCTTGCTGTCCTTGTCGGCGGGAGTGATCGGAACATGTTGTTCCGCAACGAGCTGAGGAAGAGAGGGGGGCGGGAGAGACTGCGTGCCTGCGGAATCATGAGACATGTCAGCGAATGGACGCCCTCCGCAAAAAAACAGTAAAAACGTGCGTGCAAGCGTAAATTTGCCCCGCGCACGAAAGGGCGGAAAAGATGAAGCACAACGATCGCAGAAAAGAGGCTGTCATCAATCCTGGTCCGGGCCCGATGCGTGACATATAGGCGAGAAAGACGGCAGCTTTGAGGCCCTGCCACTAAACCGCCTACACTGGCAATCTCGGGCCGTCGATCTGCAGCTCTGGCTGCCTTGAGCAGGCTCTCTGCCCGTACCGTACGCACCAACGCACGCTTGCTTGTTCATAGACCATGGGGGGAGTATTACTTACGGGGACGTTTAACTCCCGCAACAGCGGCACGACCTTCGGGGCTCGCCATGATGTCGAAGTAGAGGTAAACTCGAATTGGTGGGGAAGTTTTTCAATTCTCCAAAACGAAAGGAGACAGGATGCCGAATTGAGGACAAATTTCTGTCTCGTGAAAATCAACGCAGGTCACCTCACCTAAAAGGCAGGCTAAATTAGGACTGTACAAAGAAGGTACATCCTCGGTAGCGAAGCACCTTGACCACTCAACACCCCGCGATAAGATATTTTTGCGTGGCAGTGGATGCACTGTGTAGGAACATCTCGTCGCTAGCGCCATATCCCCCATTGAGCCACAGTTGTCAGCCATCTCAGAACAATAGTGGGCCCGAGGTGGCTGCCGTACCTGAACAATTCAGAATACAACTTCGTCTGCAAGGGATCGAGGTTCACAAGCAGTGCACGACATCCCACATCCTCTGCCATCACGACAACCGGATCGGCAAGCACACACATCTCCGACGACCAACCAAGCGCCCGAATATCCGCACATATACACTGACGCCCTTTCTTCCCACCCGCCCAGTTTGGGACCAAACCCTTCAACATGGCGTATCCTGTGACGAAAGCAGCCCAGCAAGTCGTGAAGGAGCTCCACGGAGTCGTTGTTTCAGCAGGGCTCATGCAGAAGACTGTCAAAGTACGCGTTGGCGGGCAAAAATACAACCGCAAGGTTCAAAAAGTAGGTACATTGACAGTGGTATGAACCCTGACGTGATGCTAATCCAGGCTTCTCACAGATGTTCACGACCCCCAAAAGCTATCTCGTACACGACCCAAACTCTTCCCTGCGCACCGGTGATGTTGTCTCGATCATGCCCGGCTGGCCGACATCTCAGCACAAGCGACATGTTGTGAAACAAATCATTGCTCCGTTCGGAATCCCCATTGAGGACCGACCCCCTGTGCCATCTGCAGAAGAGCGGATAGCTCTGCGAGACCAAAAGAAGGCCGAGAAGGACGTGCGAAGGGAGTCTAGGAGAAATGAAGCTAGAGAGGCGAAATTGCTCGAGAAGGCAGAGCGACTCCGAGCTCGCAACGAAGAGGCGCACGCTGATGCTTCGTGAGCAGGGGAGGTGTTGGGTGGTCTTAGTTGACCTGGGTTGACAGCACTCACGCTCGGCGTACATATGTCAGCTCATGTACACACCCCTAGCAGAGCGATGATGAAGGCTTTGCTTCAGCATTGACGCCGGTACTTTCCGTAGGGCTGCTTGTATATGTACATTTTGTATACCAGTGTATATCATAGAAAGACTCTGGAACCATCTCCAGCCTCGGATCCATTTGCGCCATCATAGCCCCCAGAACTCCAATGCACCAATCTTGCCGATTTCATAGCGAAGGGCCCCAGCTTGGCATGCGGTTCGTGGTACTGCTGTCACCCACCCCGTTCACCGAACTCCTGCGCCCAGTCCTCGTACTCCTTAAGACCAGTCTTGCTGACACTAGGCCGAATGTTTGTCAAGCTAGCCTTGAAGTCAATTATAGATATAGGACGAATGTCGTCCATCGTCATGTGCAGGAGTGCCTCGCCCAACGACCTTAGAGGACCCATCGCTGCGTCTTTTGCTAGGGCAGTGATGTCAGAGCCCGAAAAGCCTATTTATAAACGAGGTTGCGTTAGTTTTCCGACCGACAACGAACGAAATCAAGCATTCCTATGTTGAAGAAATCTTACCATCCGTGAGTTTGACCAATTCTTCGACGTCATGATCTGACAAGCCATGTTTCTGCTGACTTAGCAACGTTCTGAGCTGCGTAGACCTCGTCTCTGGCTCAGGAAGGGGAATGTATTGACGTCGAACAAAACGTCGACGTGCAGCTTCGTCGATAGCCCAAGGGAGATTAGTAGCAGCAAGAACCAGAACACGGTTCGCATCTCCACGAGACTTGTCCAACTCGTCAGGTGCCCTACCGGCTGCTGCACGTTGTAGGTCGCTCCACTGGATCAGGAATTCCGTCTTGATGCGTCGCGTTGCCTCGTGTTCGCCCGAACCTGATCTCTGGGAGAGGAGGGAATCAATCTCATCGACAAAGATAATACTAGGGGCCAGTTCCTTCGCCAGGGAGAAAAGTGCGCGAACCAGCTTTTCTGACTCCCCGAGATACTTGCTCGTGAGACTGCTGGCGGAGATTGAGAAAAACGTTGATCGAGACTCTGTTGCGACCGCCCGAGCAAGCATCGTCTTGCCAGTGCCAGGAGGGCCGAAAAGAAGCATGCCGCGAGCTGGTTCTCGTAAACCCATGAAAAGGTCTGGCCGCAGGAAAGGGTAGACCACTGCCTCTCGCAGCGCGTTCTTTGCTATCTCAAGCCCGGCGACATCGCTCCAATGTACCTCGTCGCCCTTCACAACAATCTCGTTCAAAATCTGTTTGGCAGCCCCTTCATCCACTCCTGGTGGCAGGTTTTTCAGGATAGCTTTCTTGCGTTTCTTCCATTCCGTCTTATATGGAGAAAGTCCCCCAGCATCTGATCCATCAGACGACTTGGCGTCTGTGTCAGCGATAATTGCATCCTCCTTTCGCTTCCCTTTGGGCCTCCTTCTGGTTGGCCTCTGTGGCGACGTCTGGTGACTTGAACTTTCGGAGGCGCTCGAATCTCGCGATGATGCACGAGGTCTTCTCACTGCTTGATTCGCGACCGCTTTCGCGGGCCTGTCTCGTACTTGTCCACTTGAAGAAGAAGGTTCTGTACGCTTCGGGCCTTCTCCAACAGCCTTTCGCCTAATGCCGGAATCTGAGGCGCTCTTGCGTCGGTCCTGTGCCTCATCAATATCGGAATGGCTCGTTCCCTCTTTTCGCGCTGCCCTAGCGGCCGGGACTGATAGTGCGGCATTGCGAGATCGGGATATGCGATCGTGTTTTGGCGTAGCAAGCTCCAGCGATGGCGAATCTTGCATGGAGACGGAATTCAGAGCACTCGAAGCCGCGCTGACCGACAAAGCGGATGGCCGATCGTAAGAGAACTCTTCAGAACATCTTGTAGGACGTGACCCATCGGCCAACGCCGCATCCGTATCCCGGGGCGTGACGAGCCTCCGTGTATGGATATCCCATTGCAGAGGGGAGACACCTGCACTTTTCTTGGGCTGCTCATTGCTTTGCCGAGGGCTTGCACTGGAAGATACAGGCTCACTACCAGAGCCTAGCCCTCGCAAGAGCCGGTCTTTCGAAGTCAAGGCACTCCATGCAAGTGTAGCGGCCTTGCTTGCTCCTGGACCCTCAGCTTTGGCAGACTTGCGGGAAAGCTTGGTTGTCTTTTCTCCCGGTCTCGCGCTGCGCAGTGTAGTTCTCATGGTGTGCTTTTCAGGGCTGGGCGAACGCATCATCTCCTTCGTGTTGTTCGCCGAATGTGTTCGTGCGGAACCCGGAGCTGGCAGCACTCCAGCTTCGGGGCCGGAGCCGGAACCTGATGCATTTCCACTCACGACAGCTCGTTCCGAAGATGTCCGATTCGGCAATGAGGGTCTACTGGGCAAGGCAGGGCGTGATAATTCGGGATACGTCGCTGCTGGGATGGTGCCTTGGCCAATCCAGCCGCGCGCAGATGTTGGGCTCGAGACTGCCATGTTAGGTGGGCTCGTAAAGTTTGCAGCGGCAGAACGCGCCGGTGTGGAAGACCTCGGTGCTTCCTGTCGAGACATACGCAAGGCTTCTAGTAGGTCGATACGCTCTTTGCATTGCAGTTCGAGCTGCAACAAGGAGTCGACCAGAGCCGACTCGGTTTCAGACCTCGGAGTATAGTTAGGGAGGACTTTGCTGGAATGGTGACTTAGGATTTCGTCCAAGGCATTACGCCAACATCGCATCGCATCTTCTTCGTTACCCTGTCGAAAAGTAATGCATTAGTACACTCTCGATCAACAGAAACAAAAGGAGCACTCGCGAACCTGACTCTCGTAATAGACTGCCGTTGAGCATTTCAGGTAACTGTCATCGTACGTCTTTTGCAGTATGGCCAGGCCCCTGTTGCGTGACATCGCATCAATACCGTCGGGGCATGACAGGGTGTCCAGGTGTAAAGAGGCGTTTCTGCTATTCGCTTGTCTACTGCTCTGGAGGGGCTGGAGGTTGAAGGTAAATCGAGTTAGGCTTGTGGTCCGCTTGGGTTACGAGGACGGGCATAGCCACACAGGCGCACTGATCATGAACCGACGTCTTGACAGTGCATGCGAAACACCTTCTGAGATGTGTATTGAGCAACCGTTAATGTGATCTTCGGATTTGTCGAGATTTGGGTGGTAGGGATTCGATTAGGCTGCTTTGCAGCTGCAGAGGAAAGGTGGGCAAGTGAGGTTGGTGGTGGATTGTGATATGACGTCGCTGTTTGCGTTTGGTCTGCTTTGAGATACGGGCTCCCTTGGCTGGGGGCTGACGACGCTATACGCCTTCGTCCACAGCTCGCAGAGCACAAACCAGCCGCATTACATGATTGTCTCGCATCCGGATTGCGTATCCGCATTTTCTTCCCACTGAACTCAAGTCCACCTATGTGTCTGCGACAGGTATAGGTATCCGTATTTGCATGGTCTTCATGCCGCTCCTTCCAACACTTGAAGATCACCACGGCCCTAGGAAGCCTGAGTCTACGTCATTGACTTGGCATCAAACCTCCGAATAGAATTGTTATTTGAGCTACGAAAGTAAGACTTGGCATCAAACCTCCGAATAGAATTGTTATTTGAGCTACGAAAGTAAGACTTGGATCTCTCCAGTTGTTCTGGGAAATAATGCCCGGAGTGACTGTGACTCGGCAATCCCATCTGCTGCTGAGCTTGCGTCAACGTCGCCCATAGAGTCTGCTGCAAGGAGCATCTCCTCAATATGTTCGAAATCTTGACAGAACCGCAAGGCAGCCTTTTCTGTCACTTCGCGAGCTAGGTTAGAATCTTGCACATGCTGGACCTGGTCTGCAGCGTCTATGAGCGCGGATGGCAAGAAGTCGTCGAGCGTTAGACTAGCACGTCGCAAGGCGTCAGGTTGCATTGGTTCGAGCAGCCGCAGTTTTTTGACACCTTCAGCATCTGCCGTTAGCTTCTCGAGTGCGCTGATCATTTCCTCGAGCCCGGAGGCATGTCGAAGGAACTGATATTGGCTCGCCAAAAGTGTTTTGGACTCCTCCCCGACCCTCTCCTCAAGCACACGCACTCGTTTCCGCGTAAAGTCAAATGGCTGCAATGAAGACTTCGCTGCCATCAAGCAGTTCACGATGAAGATGGCACCTTGGAGAGACCCTGCTCCCCTAGCCATGCTTTCACAGCCCGCGATGAATGGCTCGAATGATTCAGCCAAGATAGGTTGGAAGTCGCTCTCACGGTCCGTTGAGCCGGTCATGGACGTTTCGTACGTTTGCATGATGGTCTTCAGCTGCTCGAGCGCATTGAGAAGAAACTCTGGCGGTCCCAAATCCGACGGCGTCTGCTGAAAATCCCCCTGCAACCTAGCAATATGATCACGCACCAAGGATCTGAACTGTCTCAACGCCTCGGTCTCCAGGCCAGCCAAGAGGTCCAAGAGCCCAGAAGTATCGCCCAAAAGCTTCGCGAACGTGAAGCGGTAGAAGCCCAGAAGATTCGCTAGCTTATAGGACAGAATTGTGTCTTCATTGGATTGAATGACTTGTTCGACACGTTGTCGCAATATCCTGGCTACCGCTGACACGTCTCGATCAACAAGCTCGTTCAAGGCCTTGAGACCATCGAAAGCTTGCATGTCGGAGTCTTCGGTATTATCAACAAGCTGCCATAGTTCTGTTGCGCGGCCTGTTTGCAGGCCTTTGGCGATCTCATCAACGTCCGCCATAAAAAGAGTTTCGAGTGCTTCTCGTTCACCGACTGTGGCAGAGTGAACCCACGCAAGCATGTCGCCAACGTAGCGCAGAGGATCGTGCGCGGCCATTTCGATGGGCTTCACTGTGTTGTCATGTTGTCCAGTACTCGACGTACCCGTCAGAGCAGTGTGGAACGCATCAGACAGAATGCGATGCCTAGCGTCGGCAAAATAGTCGAGGCATCCCTGGAAGAGCGAGGGTCTTTCCGAAAGGACCCGGATCGCGCGGCGGATCGAAGTATTCAGTTGTGGGTTCTCAAGGTTGAGCGTTTTGAACTCCTTCTGCACCCATTTGTATAGTTTTTGGAAAGCCAGGTTCAGGTTCTTCGAGGTCTGTTCCATGATCTCCAAACCAAGGTTCTGGTTCTCGAAGCCTAACAGGGCCTCGCAATCCGAACTGACTTTCTTGGCTCTGGCCAATGCGGCAAAGTAGTCCTCGTTCACAGGTTCTGCCGACGAGGTCAGTGTGGCGATTTCATCATTGGTAAATAAGAAGTGGCCACAAAACGCTGCAAGAAGCTGTTGTTTGGTGGCAACGTCCTCTCGCTGCTGTATCAACACAGCAGCATCCTGAAGCACAGGTGTCGTCTGTGTATGCGACGTAGCTATTGGCCCTCGCATTTCATCGTACGTCTCATTCAGTTGATTAAGGGTGTGGCGTACCCGACGCAATTGCTGGTATCATAGATCAGTACGTGGACCAGGCGAGCTGTTAGGAGATTGAAACTCACATCGGCAACACGCCCAAAGTCATTGATAATCTCGCCATTACACTCGATCATCTCCTTCTGAAGATCCAGACGCACCTGTCGCCGCACGCGAGGCTGGTTGTTTATTTGCTTCTCATCTAGAAGAGCCAATGCCTCTCGGAACTCGGAATCAGCGTAGGAAGTGGACAGTATTGCAGCGGCCTTTGAGGACACTGGGTTTGGACCCTTCGAGAGAGCTGGGGAGGACCCGGAGGAGTGTGAGGTCGCCGCGTCCATCTCGGTTGACCCAGACGGGATCGTGTGAGTGCCAAAATTTATAGGCCACAGAAGAACGTATGACCTAATTGCGGTCCATGGACTTGAGCTGGATGGTGTATGTTCGTGGATGGCCAGACCATAGTTAGTACCACTTGTTCAATGTGTGAACCGTCGAAAATGATGAGCTCTCAGCGGCGTGATCTACACAGCCTTCTAGCTCATAAATGGATAGTCCGAGCTCTGGCCACCGACATTCATCAAGGGTCTCGTGCAAAGTGGAGACATTGCAGGGGTGCCTGACCCCATCATGTGGCATGGCTCTCCAAACGTCATTCTCCGATAAGATCCCCAGGCTGCATCACGCTGGTTAGCAACCTGACTGTCGTACCAAACCCTCATGGACGCAACAACAAGGTCAGTCTACCAAACCCAGATCCGGTAGCTACCAGAGCTGAAGATTTCTGCGGTAGCGTGACCGCATCTATTACTTCATCTGCCCCGCGCGCTGTCTTGAGGTCACAACGACGACGCCTTGCCTCTTCGTCTTCTCGGATGAAGCGATCTCCATCGCCTACTCCCTTTCAACGACACGTCTCTCTCAGCTCTGGTTGAAGGCTGGTCGTGCTGAAAGCCACAGTAATCTTTTGTCTTTATTACAGAACCATCTTCAACCCGAGTTCCTTGTCCTCTCCCTTCCGATCATGAGCCTCGACGCCTACGGCAGCTCACCCGAATCGCTTTCCAGTCGGTAGATCGTTGTTGTGCCATGGCGTCGAATCTCTTTTCACGGGATACTGTTCCTGGCCGAGTCACGAAGTCATTCTACGAAGAGCTTAGAGGGACCAGCAGAGAAGACGAAGACATCGAGAATAACGCTGCTGCTGATCTGGACGAGAACAACTGGAACCAGCATTTTCTAGACCAAGATCTTGACGGCCTTGCTATCGAAGACAGCCGTACTACGGCTGATGGTACGGCGAATTTGATTCGCCAGGCAAAGAAGACTTCACAAAATCGACCGGCGGTTTCAAACCACTGGCATGGCTCAGGCCGTGAGGACGAGGGCGATAATGATGTCCCAGCGTCATTGCTCGTCGAGGCGAATGAAGTGGAGCAAATAGGCAAGTCTACGCATCGTAAGCAACTGCCAGCCTCGTCACGGCGACATAAACCACCGGGTCAACCTTCGCGACAGTCGCAAGCGCAATGGGAACGAGCGCAGTCCCAGCAAAGGCTATATCATGAGTTGCCTCTCCGATCGCCTGGGGCCAAACCGTCAACCGCACTTGGTAGTGTGGTTTCAGGTAGCCCCAGGGAACAGGCACTTTGGAGGTGGATAAACGTGTCGAACCTTGACTTTTTCATGAGGGATGTGTATGAATACTACCTTGGCAGCGGGTTTTGGTGCATCTTGTGCGAGCGCGCTCTGCACCTTGTGTAAGTCTTGAATTCGACCCCAAGTACTATACACGTGAAGAAGGCTAACATTTCTTAGGCAATCTACATTTATCACGATTTTCCTCACCTTTCTTACGCAATGCATTGAATACAACAAGGTGCCTGGGAGTAGCTCACTGTCACAAATCATCACCCCTCAGTGTACTAAGAAGATGTCGTGGTATTGGAATCTAGGACTGTGGCTATTCGTCTTCTATTTCATCTGGAAGGCAGTTCAATTCTCTGTCGACACTCGTCGATTGATTACCATGCGGAATTTTTATGTCCATCTCTTGGAGATTCCTGAGCAAGACATGCAAACTGTTTCGTGGCAAGACATTGTTGCACGCATCATGGCACTCAGAGATGCCAATCCGAACACGGCACTGAACATGACCCGGACACAGCGAGACTGGATCCGCGCGCATTCAAAAGAACGTTTGGATGCTATTGACATCGCCAGCCGTCTCATGCGGAAAGACAACTATCTCATCGCCATGATCAACAAGGACGTTCTGGACATGACCTTACCAATCCCGTTCATGCAAAACCGTCAATTCTTTTCCGGAACGCTCCAGTGGTGGCTTTACTTCAGCGTCATTGACCTCATCTTTGACCAAAGTGGCCAAGTCAACCAAGAGTTTTTGAAAGCAGATCGACGAGGCTTGCTCAGCCGTAAGCTACGGGATCGTTTTGTCTGTGCCGGTCTACTCAACCTGCTTTGTACGCCATTCTGGATAGGCTATCAGACGGTGATTCATCTACTCAATTATTACAATGTTTGTTTACCCGACTCGTGCGTGCTGTAGCCTACTGACAACCTCGAATAGGAGTACAAGAAGAACTCGGCCACGCTCGGTGATCGCCGTTATACAGCCTTGGCCAGATGGAAATTCCGCGAGTTCAACGAACTACCCCATCTATTTCAAGAACGAATCAATATGTCATACCCATTTGCAAGCCGATATATCGACCAATTTCCGAAGCGGCTCGTAGAACAAGTAGCAAGGTCTGTTACCTTCATGTCCGGCGCCATTACCTTCACACTCGCCGCAGCTTCATTCCTCGACCCGGAGCTATTCCTTGGGTTCGAAATCACCAAGGACAGGACGGCGCTTTTCTACATCGGAGTTTTCGGCACCATTTGGGCTCTCGCCAGGGGTATGATATCAGAGGAGACTACAGTTTTCGACCCCGAATTTGCGCTGAAGGGCGTCCTGGACTTTACTCATCATATGCCAGACCATTGGCATGGGCGACTTCACAGCTTTGATGTGAAGCAAGAGTTCTCCGAACTCTATAAGCTCAAGGTCGTGATTCTCGCAGAAGAGATCCTGGGCATCTTCCTAGCATCGTTTGTGCTGCTTTTTTCTGCCCCAAAAAGCAGTGACCAAATAATCGACTTCGTTCGAGAATTTACGATCCATGTCGATGGGTTGGGGTACGTATGCTCTTTTGCCGAATTTGACTTTAGGAGAGGCCTTGGGAACCAAAAACCGACAGCTGGAGTCGACGATGTCCGCGAGGATTATTACACAACCAAGCATGGTAAGATGGCTGCATCATATTACGGGTTTCTTGAGAACTACGTGATCAACCCCAAGACGGGCATGCCGGGTGGCCACGTGCCGCCTAGCATGCGGCAGCAATTTCACCCGCCCCCGGCGTTCCCAGGGCTCAACTCTCCGAATCTGGTAGCCGAGATCCCGGGTTCACGAGAGGGGCGAGGCGAAACAGGCCGCAGCCGTGGCCTTCAAGGGGGCCTGGGCCATCCGGCGAGGACGCCTCGATTCGGAGCGTCCATGACAGCACCTTCCCCCATGGCATCGATGCTGCTCGACCCTCATCACCAGCCTTCAGGTACAAACCTAAATGTGCGAAGCACGTACGGTATTAAAGGTCGACAGCATCGTGGCGAACACCCACCAGAGCGTGGTATCCGCGAAGAGCCCACAGAAGAAGGCATGAGCTCGCAATTACAATCCTATTCTCAGCGTGAAGATGAAGATGAAGCGGGCGGACCGCTTGGCGAGTCGGTTTGGCAGACCTCACCCGCCAAGAACTTGAGTAGGGAGAGTAGCGGGGCTTTGTCGCGGGAGCCAGATACTGGCGTGCTGGGGTTGATCCAGCAATTCCAACAAGCCCAACGCAACAATAGGCTAGGAGGGGCGTGAGGTATTTGATAATGCTGACCTGGGTGACTGCTCCAAAGTAGTCTATAGATCCTTCTTTTGCTATGTCGAGTGTGCGTAGAGGGGTATTATACTCCTCATGTCAAGGCTGAGGACAACTCTTTTTTTTCTTTTTCTTTTGGCAGAGGAAGCGCTCGATTTCGGTGAACCGGTGAACCGAGGCGACACATTAGGGGTGAGTAGTCCCGCGCTGTCTAGCATTCGCTGCTTCATCGAAATAGATATTATTCTACCTGCTCATAAAGAAAGTCGTATCTCCGAGGACGGACACCCACGAATCTGAACTTGGTAATAATGACACGGTCATTGACGCGGGTAACACTGGAACAGCAGCGCCGAGGCTCAGTGCCCAAACCCCAATAGGTGCACTAGGCGTGACTCCGTAGGTGCGTACGTGTGGGGGGCCTCGGTGCTAATCAGATGGCGGAGTTAGTGGGTGGGTAGGTTGGCGCAGGAATGTATACGTGCACGATAGCAAGCATGATAGGTACATTGATCCCCCCAAGCACGGCCCGGCGAGGCCCATCTCCGAGCCCGCAGCTCGCAGCTCGCCGCAAATCAGCTTTGAATTTTTTCGGCCGCCTCCCTCGCTCTCGTTGATGAGTCGTGTACCGTACCAGGCTCACCTCAACAGCCAGAAGCGAAAGTGTACATTTGACACGTAAACTCACGCACTTGCCCTCCCCCGGAGCTGTTGGATACGTCCTTATCACCTTTTTTTGCTTGACGGTTGATCGTACTTCTATACCATTTGCACGAACCGATCGCCGGTCCGTCCCCGACCTCCACGCCTGCCTCTTTCATCGCGCCTGCAATCCTTCGACGGGCTGTTCGCGGACACCGTTGCAGAAAGAGCACGTCCTACCTCGACGACCACATCCATCGCATCCCTTCCTACATCCTCCCAGCCGTCACCCTGGCGGCTCTCCAGCCCAAGCCTTTCGGCGAAGCGCCCGAAGCTGTGGCCGCAATGGCCCAGCCAACTGCCGAGCCGGTCGAGGAAGAATACGAGTGCGCCCTGCCAACAACGGTCTATCGCAATGCGAACGATTGTGCTGACATGATGTCCATTCCAGCTATGAATCTCTGCCACCCAACTTCTCCCTGCTCCAAAATATGGCTGCAGGGGCTTTTGCAGGCATAGCAGTACGTGGCGCCCTTGCCTGTCCGGAGGACGACCCTGTCGAGTTTTCCAGTACTAATAGCATCGCCAGGAGCACACCGTCATGTACCCGATCGATGCCATCAAGACGCGCATGCAGGTCCTGAACCCCACAGCGTCTACCGCGTACAATGGAGTCATCCAGGGAACCTACAAGATGGCCACCGGAGAAGGCTTTCTCAGTCTCTGGCGAGGCATGTCCAGCGTCGTTGCAGGTGCAGGGCCCGCGCACGCCGTTTACTTTGCGACGTACGAGGCCGTCAAGCATGTCATGGGCGGCAACCAAGCTGGTGTGCACCACCCTCTGGCGGCAGCGACCAGCGGAGCTTGCGCGACCATTGCCAGTGATGCCCTCATGAACCCCTTTGATGGTACGACTCGTCTCCACATTATGAGCTTGGTTGTTTCAGCAATTGGCGGCAAGACATACTGATCTCGTCGGTTTACTACAGTCATCAAGCAGCGCATGCAGATCCAGAACTCGGCCAAGATGTACCGATCCATGACCGACTGCGCACGATACGTCTACAAGTCGGAGGGCCTGGGCGCCTTCTACGTGTCCTACCCCACGACGCTCTCCATGACAGTGCCTTTCACCGCGCTGCAGTTCCTCGCCTACGAGTCAATCTCCACGACGATGAATCCGGACAAGACCTACGACCCGACAACGCACTGTGTGGCTGGTGGTGTTGCCGGTGGTTTCGCCGCTGCGCTCACCACACCCATGGATGTCATCAAGACGATGCTGCAGACAAGAGGCACCGCCACGGACCCCGAGCTGAGGACAGTCAACGGCTTCATGGCTGGCTGCCGGCTGCTTCTGCGCCGCGAGGGCCCACGAGGCTTCTTCAAGGGAATCGGTCCCCGTGTCGTTACGACCATGCCCAGCACGGCCATTTGCTGGTCAGCGTACGAGGCCTCCAAGTACGTGATCCTCGCTCCTCTTGTGTATATGTGGATTGGCCAGCTAACCAGATTCCAGGGCCTACTTCATTCGTCGCAACGATACGCTGTAAGACGGTCCTCCTACCTCTAGCAAGGCTGAGTCGGGGGGTGGAGGTTCGGGAGGTGCATTGACGGCTCAATTCCGCACATTGCGCCTGGATTCCCGACGAAAGACGGGTGTCAGGGCTTTGGCGACGATGGATCCTTACATTCACCTTCAAGTTGCAAAGTTGATACAGCACGGTCTCAAAAGAAGTCACGGAGCGCATCTGAAATGCCGAAGCATGCTGCCCACCCCGAGTACAATACCACCCAACGACGAAGGCATGGCATCAACGGCAAGGAGAGGACCACACGTCATGTGCGGCGCATTGTGGACATCGCAGGCAGAGAGGAGGGGGACGACGGGAGAGGCCGCCATCATGATCATCCATCACGCGCAGCTCGCGGCGGTCAATGTGTAAATATTATGTGTGTAATCTGAGGGGTTGTGGGAAATCAACCTTGGTCAATCGAAGCGTCATAGATGCGCTCTTTGAGCGATTCTACCTACCGCGTGGTACCCTTCACATAACTCAACTAGAGTGTCGTTGGGTGACATGACAACACGTCAGCGTTGAGGCCACATGGGCCAGACCAAATACGAGTCAATTTCAGAAAAGGTTATCGAAGCACCTGACGTCCCTGCACGAAAGTGTTGAATCTCCACATGATGGCTACATGTTCAAAAGCGACAGCTGTTCACGTCCACTGTCCTACAAGAACTTGTCCGACCAGTCGGTTGGATTAGAGTTTTCACCATGAACGCCAACTGGCGTGTAGGTTCAACGTGTATGTACGGCCTACTTCTGCAACAGAATCAAACTCCACAAACTCCTGACGCTCCCGCGCGCACCACCGTGGCGCATTGCGCTGCGTGTGTTCCGCTCATGGCCCCCCAAATTTCAAAATGCTGCACAGAGAAGATCAGAAGGGGAAGCCGCCGCCGCCGCCGCCGAAGTGGAACTTGAACTGGCTGCCGCCGCCGCCGGGGCCCTGTTGGTGCATGTACGGGTGGCCGAAGGGACTGCCTTGGAAGGGGTTGCCGCGCTGCTGCTCCTGGTCGTTGGGGTCGTCGCCGCGGTCGAAGCGCTCGCGGAGCTCGGGGTCGCTGAGGACCTCGTAGGCCTCGTTGATGGCGGCCATCTTCTTCTCGGCCGCCTCCTTGGTGAGGCCCTGCTTGTGCGCCTTGTCGGGATGGTGCAGCTTGGAGAGCTTGCGGTAGGCCGACTTGATCTGGCGCGCGTCGGCGTCGTTGGTGACGCCGAGGACCTTGTAGTAGTCCTTGGTCTTGCTGCGCTTGAGGGCGATCTGCGCCTTCTGCTGGAGCGGGCGCACAATGTTCTGCTTCTCGGGCTTGACGTTCTTGGCCTCCTCGAGCGTCCGGACGGCGTCCTCGAATTCCTCCTTGTCCATCTGCTCGCGCGCACGGTGGAGGAGACCGTAGAAGGATTGTTCGTTCAGGGCCAGGGCGTTGTCGCAGTACTGCTTCGTCTTCTTGCTGTTCATCTGCATCGCGAAAGGTTAGCACACGCACGGAAAACACGCGATACAGAACGCAGGTCACAAGAAAGTGACGAACCTCGTAATAACCCTCGCACGCCAAGTCGACGACCCTCATGTACAGCGCCGATGGTGCGTTCGCTGGTATGGTACCATCCTGCTTGAGTTCCTCCACCTGCGACTTGATGTTGGTGATCAGACCCGCGTCTTCGCCATTGTCGATCAACATCTTGACGCCCGTCATGGGCTGGTTCTTCTCAAAGGCCTTGGCGACTTTGGTCAGTGTCTTGTCGATGACCTTCTGCTGCTTCAGCATCTTCTTGCAGGGCTTCGAATCCGGGTCCGAGTGCAGGCACTTCCTGATCTGAGCCATGCCGTTGTTCAGGTCGTCGAGGCCGTAGAACGTGTTGGCCGAGATGGTAACGTGGGGGGTCGTATCGCCAGGCCTCATCTGGAGGATGTGGTGCAGATCGCCCATGCCCTCCTCGACCTCACCCCGCGCGAAACGGCAGCGCGAGCGCAGCTCGCGCAGGTACACAGCCCGGTTCGCCGTCATGATCGCCTCTCCAGCCTGGTGAACGCACGTCTCGAAATCGCCCGCCCTCTCGGCGGCCTCGGCCAGCTGAGCTGCCCCTTGAGCCTCGTCGAGGGCCGCCAGCTCGGGCGAGGCGGCATCCTTGTTGGCCAGTTTGTAGTGTTCCTTTGCGCCCTCCCAGTCGGCGCTTCGGGCGCGGATCTTGGCGAGCTGGATGTGAGCGCCCTCGAAATCAGGCTTCAGGGATAGTACCCTGTTGTAGTCTTCGGTGGCCTGTGAGGTTCGGCCGAGCGATAGGTAGGTGGTGGCACGCTTGAAGAACGTGAGGTAGTTGGAGGGGTCGCGGGCCACAGCGGCATCGTAGTAGAGGAGGGCGTCGCTTGTCTCGCCCTTGGACAGGTGAGATTGCGCTGAGGACAGGAGTTCGGAGACAGGAAGATCGGACGGGATACTTTCGGCACTCAGAGCAGAAACGAGGGGTGTGGCGAACAGAGCCGCCGCGACGGCGAGGGTTGAAATGTTCACGTGCATGGCGAGAGGTCTCGGTAGCAATGGCGGCAGAGCAGAGGAGTAGAAAAGAAGGCGATAGAGGGGGTGACTGCTGCCTCTGCGGAGTTGCGAAAAGATGCGCAATTGAGGTGTAAGAAAAAAAAAAGCAAGAGGCAGCAAAAGGCCAACGAGCTTTGGACAGTTGTCCGAATGGTTGCGGCAAGGTGTCGTGCGAAGTTCCGTCGTTCAAATGGGTCCTGGTACCTGGATGCGCGAAGTAGACCCTTGAAGCAAGAAGTGTCCTTATCCCAACCTGGCTAGCTCGGCTTACACTGTATGGTGCACACAGTAAACGGGGAGGCCTTCGCATGGGGCAGCAGCCAGCGGACAGCTGGCAGGAGGTACAAGCCCAAGGTGGGTAGGTACTTGTAGACAGTTGCGGGTGACATGGGAAGCTCAGATGCGGGGCCCCTGTTCTCCATCCTCCGCGTCAATCTAGGCCGCTCACTCGCTCATATCAATCTTAGAAGATGTAGCACGCGTCGACGTGTGCTCGCCCACACGCTCGGTACCTGTCACCAACCACTGACCCAAGACGCCGGAGTGCGATGCCGGGTGCATCATCACCATGGCCCATCTTGACCACGCAGCAATCTTCTCGCCCTCGGTCGCACGCATCGCCGCGTCAACGGCAAAAGACTGGTCCTTCGTTGACACATGGCTAGCCTCCAAATTCCCAGGCCGGGCCGCCCCGTCCTTCGAGCGCAACCCTGACACGCTCAGGGTTCTGCTCTCTCTGGCGACCCTCAATGAAACCGCAGACGAGGAGCGTCAGCTCTTTGCGCGCGCCGAGGCCTCTGCCCGCAGGGAGCTATCGCAGGCCGCCGACCGAGGTGCTGACCATGCCTCAATGCAATCGGACCTCCTTGAGGCTATCGAAGAAGCGCTGCCCCAAGACGGACGCAATGCCCTCGATGCACTGGCGTCGCTCTCCGTTGATCTCGGCAACCCTCAGCCGACACCTCATGAACTCGGCGTCACGCTTGTCCAACTCCAGGCACAGGCGCAGGAGACAGAGGAGAGGCGTGCCCGCCTGACAGATCTTCAATCTCACGTGGATGCGGAGAAAATCGCCATTGCAGATCTGCTACGTGACTTGCAGGGCTGGAAGTTCAAGCCTTCGGCCGAGCTGCCGCGACAGAATGTGGAATTGCAAAGAAAAATCAAAGCTCTCTCCAACAAATTGCCCGAGCTCGAGGACCGTCTAAAAGCCATTGACACGGCCCCAGCCGCCTTTCATCCCACCATTGATCAAATTGCGCGAGAGGAGTCGGCATATAGAAGTCTCTTGAATCGCAAGATGGATCTCGATTCTCAGATAGCTCCGTTTGCCGGCCTTCCTCACGACGCTGATGCTGCCAGAGACCAACTGGAAGCTTTACGCAGCGAACTTCAATCACTCACACGCCGAAGAGATGCCGTTTTCGAGAGTCTCGTGGAACGTGAGAGTCCCCGGAAAAGATCATGATGACTAAAGGTGGTCTTCCCTCCGATGGACTGACTCTAGCTTCGTTGATCAAAGTATACATCTGCGACCATGGTGACATCCATCAAGGTCGCTTTCCCCTCCCGGCCACAGCGCCACCAAATCTGCCCAGCTGCCTCCCGAGACCGGACCGCTTAGCAGCCGGAGGTACCGGCGGAGGGGCCGTAGACGGGTCTTTCATCGGGACTGGCGGCCCCGGCATGTTGCGGGTGTCCTTGGATCCTCCCTTCATTTCTGGTCCGTCACCAAGTCGAATGTCACCGACACCCAGCGGGGCGCCGTCGTCGAGACCCTCGCCGGCGTGCCTCTGCGTCCGCCGAGCTTTCTCCTGCACACTTCGGAACTTTTCCAACAGATCGCCCCATTTTACAATGGCTTCTTCTCGCCCTTTGAGCCTGTTGGGTCTGTCGAAATTGGCACCAGCTGACGTTGACGCCGTTGGCCTAGGCGTGATATGCAGATAGCCAATCGAGCTGACGCTGTTGAGGCGGTTCTTGAGGGCAGCAAAGGCGGATGACTGTGGGAGAAGCATAAGAAGTCCGTAGAGGCACTTGTAGAGATATGGGAACTTTTCAGGCTCCAGGAGCTGGAGGCGGAGATCTGAGGTGCGGCACACCGCATGTCAGCTTCCCACGCAAGTCGGCGGTAAGGCGTGGGACAACTTACACGTGAATACTGGTGATTCGATGAGTTGTACAAGCTTGTCTATTTGAATAAGAATATTCACGGTCATCTCCAATTCCGCACTATGCCTGGTTAGCAACTTCGTCTTACATGTGTCCCCAGACGCTGCAAACTGACAATATCTGCAAGAGGTTGTATGCTTGCTCGTATGCCTGTGCCAGCAGGCATAGCGAGAATGTCGCAACGGCGTTGTAACACCAAGAGCGGAAGAGAGCTACGAAGAAAGCTTGACCGTCCTTGAATCTACGTCAGTCCAGGCCGATTCCCTGCAAAATATGGCTGACGTACCTTTGTCTCGAGATTGCGTAGCCTCTTCCGAAGATCTGCCAGCTCTGGTGCGGTAATCAAGTTGTTGTTCAAAATCTGTACCATGATGCTGGCGAATTCAACATCCTCTTCCTTCTCAATGCAGTCTGCCAGTGTTCTGTAGATCCTCTCGGCGCTAAGACTGACACAGAGCTGTCGAATGATAAGGTTTCCACGGGTTTCAAGCAGCTTTCTGTCTGTAGCGAAAAGCTGCAAGAGATTGACCATGAAGTTGGAAAAGTAGTCGTCTTCGCTGTTGCGTGAAATCTGGGATAGCAGTTGCAGGTCCTTGGTCACGACAGCTTCTGCTGGATCAGACAGCGTCTTGAGCAGAGCCGGGAAGGTTCCATCGTTGAATGCTAGTACCTTGCGCGGTGCTTTCCTGTGCAGCATGATGAGCCACGTCAAGGCGGCCACCCTCGTAGCCTCATGATCGTTGAGGAAGAGCAACGTGAGGGCGCTGACTGCAGCTGCGTAGTCAAGGTCCGCCTGTGGGTGGGCTGAAGACGGAACAGCGCTGGGTGTTGAGATGGAGCGATTATGGGCGGGCGTCGGACTTCGTACATCGAGCTCACGGGAGCTGGAAAGGGAGGCACGAGCACTAACAGTGCCATCCGGCCGTTCTCCGAACGTTGGCAGGCGTGATTGGTGGTGATACTGCGTTCCCATATCAGGTTCATCCGATAATGACACAACGTAGTCCAACAGACCACTGTTGACCCGGACTGCGGCTTGACGAATCGATTCTGAGCCACTTGCCATGGCGGGCAACATGTGCGCAAGAACCTTGGGCGTGAACGGCAAAACCTCTTCTGGACAAATGTCGAGGAACTCAACGATCCAGCGCAGTGACTCGGGCAACGTTGCGTCTTCTGCCATACGTAATGAGATACTTGTTTCGCATTATTAGGGAGGGAGGGGCTGTGTCTTAACGTACCTAGTGGAGAGTCCAAGGTCGCCGTCAAAATATCGAGGATCTCTCGGTAGTTGATGTGGACGTCCTGCCCAGGCACCCAGTCTTCTTCGGCGCTCGCATCGTCGTCATCTCCCGACATCTGAGAGTCAATCTCGTCGCCTTCCTGCAGGCCATCGCGGAGGCTGCCTGAATCAACAGAGTCCTCTCGTTTCCTCTTGCCGCCCTCTCGAGACTTCTTGCTCTCCGCCAAGCCTTTCTTGACCCTGGAGATCCTCTTGATTTCGTTGAGGAATTTGTTCAGGCAGGCCTGTGTGGCCACTTGCACGTCCTTGTTGGTATCACTCAGGAACTTAAGTAAGCCGGCGAGGAAGTCGGGGAGGAAAGTGACAATCTCAAGGTCTGGGATAGAATCTAGAAGAGTGATCCAGCCTACGAGGAACTGGCGAGTGAATGGGTTTATAACCCATATTCGATCCTTCAGAAGTGGGATGAACCGCTGTAGGGAGAAGGCAGTTGGAGGACGAGGCCGGTCCTCGCTGAAGTCTTTCTCTGGCCCGCCAAACTCAGGCTCGGTCTCGAGGACAGAGACATAAGAGGCTGCCGACTCGGAGACAATATCTTTGACAAGCCGATCAAGGAGTTCCGCTCCGTTCTTCACTGACAGTTCAGAATCGGCGCCTAACTATGCAAGGATATCAGCAAAGGACGGCAGTGACAAGTGTTAGCGACAGTCCCTACTTTACAAAGAGCATCAAAAATGTTGTTGAAATAGATCAATATCTCGCCTTTCGCAACCTTGGCGATGTTGTACATGGCCTCACAGGCGTAATACCGCACTCTGGCATCCTGATCGGTGAAGCATGCGAGTACAGGCGGGACAATCTTGGCCAAGTAACGAGCTAGTTCCTGGCGAGAGAAAAGTTGTGAGCAACACAATCAAAGGGGCAGCGGGGACGTATAGGCCTCAGAGGCTCTTATTCGGCCGGGGGGGGGGGGGGGCGACGCACTGAACCTAGAGCGATTCCAGCCGCTGCTAAGCCGATCAAGCCGCCATTCCTGGCATGGGGCTGATGAACCGCATATGCATACTCGTTGCAAAGCTGCTCGAGGATCGCTTCAACTCTGTTGTAGTCTTTGGAGGCTACAAGATCCCGAATGACGCGTTCCAACCTAGCCCCAGTGATCAGCGAACGGGACGCACTCAGGAAGCGGGTTTCATTTTGCTCGAGATGCCTCGCAACACATGCACTTACTCGAGCGCTCCGACTTTACGTTTGTCATAGAGCTTGTCGTTCAAGAGTCTCTGGACGTTGGCGTCCATTGTCGCGGGGATACTTAGGTCATGCTTGAGAGGATGAGACTAGCGCGAGCGTTGAGTGCTTATCGGGGCGGCGAGACGACGCAACGGTTCGACGGGAGCGCAGAGAGCGAGAGAAAACACAGAGTGCTTCAGGAAATTGCGGTGTAGCTGAAAAGCAATGACTGCGAGCTAGGGGCCTTAGATGTACGAAGATTGGAGCTTGAATGTGCTTCCAAGGCTGGATGAAGTGGAGGTTGAGGATGTGACGAAAGCTCAGGTGCAGCCTATCCGTGTCGGCTCCCTGCTTACCTCAGGTACTGACTGGCTGGCTGGCTGGCTGGCTGGGCGAGGAAAAGGCTGACAAGCAGGTACGTACTCTTGAGCCCGGCACAGCCTGGCAAACGAAGGCAAACGAAGGCCAACCGAAGCGCTTCCTCTCCGGCCCACTTCATCATCTCGGTTGCGGCCGTGGGGTGATCCGACAAGGGTCTTGTTGCTTATCTACATATCCATCCTTTTTTGACCGTCAGAGAGGTAAGGGAAAAGAATGCCCATACGAGCTTCCAGGGAGATGCCGAAGCTGTCCCAGCAGCGTGGGTTGTGGAGGCGAGCAAGGGTCACTATAAGCAATTGGTATGGTGTGTTTCGGCCCCCTCTGGAGCAAGGCTTTCTGACTTCGTTCCCCCATTCACTTCCTCATGACAGCCCGCCCTTCTCTCACTCTAATGCACCCAGGACGCATCCATCGTATCCGAGCTTGATGCCCTCGCTGTACCTGCCCGTGTTGCCATGGCTGAAGTGCCGTGATGTGCTCGACGTAGTAGCCTGCTCGACCCTGGCAAACTGGGGCCCTGAGAGTGGATGATGATCCAGCCTCCCGGGACTCGGATCCTGACCCCTGGTTCCAATCCGCGCCGACCTGACCTGCGTCACGTCACGCCTGATCATCTCGGGCCGTTTTATCATTTCCGCTGGCTTCCACCGCTGGACTCACTGGCACCACTCTGCCCGCTGCCACCTCGCTGCTCTGTTTGACCCCCGGCGCTGTTGTCCTTGTTCGTCCTCGCCGCCACGGCCGCTCGTCTAGCGAATTCATCCTGCCACCAATGTAGTCAGCGGCAGGCCCTCCCAACCTCGGCGCCCTTTGCGCCAGGCCTTGCTGGAGGTTGGCATTGCTTGGGGTTGCTTACCTGTTCCCCTCGTGCCTTTCGAATTCTCGCCGCCGCGGCCTCGTCCATCTTACTTTTCCCCATGGCCAAGTCGTAGGATGAGTCTGAGGAAGTGAAGCTGCGAAAGCGAATGGCTTTCGGTCGAGGATCGCCTATCCGTGGGTGCCTATGGAGGGCGCCTTCTACCCTTTTGTCTGCAAGCTGTGGAGTCGAGTGCTGGCCCTCTCAAGCTCTGCAGCTGACTGCGTCTCGCCGTGTCAAGGTTTGCAGTGTCTTGTGTAATGGAATCCCCGGCAAACATCGTGACTTTCAAACATGTCCTTTCAACGGCCAACGACTCGTCTCTTATACCCGCTCGCCCTTGCGTACCCTGCATCTTCACCAATTTGCTTTTGCCCCCCCTCTCTGACGCCAGGCCATGTTCCGGGGGGGTGGTTGAGGGGAGGCACGGGGAGGGAAGAGGGAGGGGAAAGGCGGGCTGACTTAGATCCAGGGGTGGGATGAGCAGGGCCTTGCGAGAGCTTTCCTGGCGGGCGGCCTTTGCTTCTTTCTCGGATTCCTGCGAGGGCCTCACGCATCATTTGCTCGCGACCAGGGTCAGGCCAGCGATCCAAATCTTGCCCTCTTCCCGGCTGCCTCGGAGGAGGGGGGTCGTAACACCGCGACAATCACAATTGTTTGCCAGATACGGCTGGTTGATCACCGTCACTTCGTGTGCTTCTGCCTCTCTTTTTTTCCGCCTTGGGCAGCCATATATCGCCGCGGGAACCTCGCGCCCTGTTCTCCTGGGCGGGCCCGAATGCGACTACACTGCTGCTCTTTGCCCTGAAAGGTGGGTGGGAACGTGACTAGCTTATAAACATTGCTCTGTTCCGACGAGGGACGTGGGCGGGGAGTGGGACTCCTCAAAGCAGATACGATCAAAGACACCGTTTGGTGTACCTACGAATCGAACAGGAACAGGTACGGACGGCAAATAGTCTTTTGGGCCCTTTGTTTCAGCCTGAACCTGGGTTCCCGTTTCCACCTTCCTGGCGACCAGGGGTGGACTATGGAGACGGTACCAAGCCCACGGGACAAGTGACAGCCTTTTGGAAGCAACACATAGGTCACTATGGCGGCAAGGATGGGGAGCCACCCTGGTCCTTCCACCTCACTGACATGGGCAGCACCGGCCACCAATTAGCTGGGAATGGGATGTCGCAGGCCTCCAAAGTCCCGAGCGTTGGCAAATTTCATTCGTCTCGGTTTGCGAGCCAACATGATAACAAACGTGCGCAGCAACATCGGAACCGTAGGCGGACGAACTTGCAAGCTGACACGCTTCAGACATGTCAGATATTGCCATAGTCGTACTGATCCACTTCCTGAAATGTAGCTCTCATACTATCTCTATTTACATGGTACCTTCATCTACTCAGATTAAGCATCTGTAGCATCGTCAAACAGAGCTGCTCGTGCTGAATTGAGTACCTCTTCATGAACAACGAGCCGTCATCATGTACTGATCAAGTCGTCTTGCTATTCGTGACTCGCGACATGCTTTTGGCACTCTGCCAAAATGGCTGCCTGTCGGGACACTTCGGCGAGCTTGCCGATGACGGTCTTGTTGCCGTCCACAAAGCCATAGAGTGCGTATGGAATACCGACATCGACGCAGAATTCCTGCACCAACTTCTGGGTCCGCCTGAGATTGTGGCGCGGGATACGAGGGTACAGGTGATGGATCGCCTGAAACTGCAGCCCGCCGTGGAAAAAGTCTAGCCAGGTCGGGCAGTCCACGTCCATGGTGGTGCGAAGCATCTTTTGGGGAAAGGACTCGGCCGGCCCCAGATCAGCGGTGCTCATGGCAAAGTGAGAGAGCGTGATCTGGATATGCAGCGGCGCCTGCAGCATGTGGCTCACGATGACGAAGACAACCCGGTCCCAGGCCGTCGGGATGCACCTATACACGATGCCGTACCCGAACCAAGCCCAGAAGAACGCTTGGCCGACCACCTCGAGCCAACGATGCCACCACGCCGGTCCGTGCCGTGGCGCGCGACCGGCGATCAGGTGATCCCAGGAGAGGACATAGAGGTTGAAGCGGCCGAACAGCATGATCGGATAATACGTCTTGGACTGCACAGATAGCATCACTTTGGCAAATGCATCGTACTTCATCAGTCGGTCGTAGTACGTCGAGTAGAGATTGCCCAAAAGTCGGTGGGAAACGGCGAAGAAGGGCATGTGCTCGATGTCTGGATCGTGCTCGGGGGAGTTGGTGACAATGTGGTGAACATTGTGACTCCGCTTCCACCAGCCCAAGGACAACCCACCCAGGAAGTCGGCGATGAAGATGCCAATGCATGTGTCGATGTGGAAATCGTGGGTAATGCCCATGTGACCTGCATCGTGGGCGGCAAAGACAAGTTGATGCCAAAAGATACCAAGACACATGGCACTCGGGACATACCAACCCCAGCTCAGGAAGAGTAGCATGCCACTGAAGAGGAGAGAGTAGCGCACCATCTCGATGGCATAGGAAAGGTAGTTGCAGTCGTAAAGCCCTTCCGCCTGTATCCTTTTGTTGAGGAGACGATATTTGACAACAATTTCGTGTTGTGTTTTGATGTCGAGTGACGGGTATCGATCGAGGTCCAGGCTGATCTCCTTTTTCGTTTGGGCGTCTAGGAACCCCGTAGGTGTCATTTTGTGGTCATCGTCATGCGATGATACTGAGCTGGCCGACGAGGAGTGGCCTCTAGTGTTGGTGGTTGTGGTGTTGTGTCGGCGGTGAGCAAGGGGCTTTTCAGCATCAAAGACGGGTGAGGCTTCGCGCGAGTCGGTATCACTGGAGGTGGAAGTCTGCTCTTCGCCCTGTGGTGTTTCTGTGGCCATATCGCGGAAGCTCCCTCCCTGGATTGGTGGTAAGAAGTTCTCCCATCGTCCCTCTACTCGGCCAATGCGGTAGCGCATCATCTGCTCTCTTGCTTCCGGGGAATGCAACCTGCAACGAAGAAATGCGTTAGTACGGTGGGTGAGCAAAGCACAGATGGCGTGCAGTCGGCTGCCGGTGGTAGGTTGGAAGACTCGTACACTGTAACCTCGTCCGTGGCATCACGACCGACCATGTGCATGATGGCCTTGTCACCGCCAGGGTGGTACTTCAGCCATGCGTCGACCTTCAACACATGTTCGTCCACGATGATAATGGTGCGTCCACTCGCGATGAGCCCTTCCACCTGCCGTCGAGACAGGAGGGGTAAATCTCGATGCTTGCGGGCGTCCATCGCGCAATTTCACAACGAGCGGAAGGTGCGAGCGGTCCAGGGCGACTGTAATTAAACGAATTGACGATAAGTGACAGATGAAGTGGTGGACCGCAAGTCGAGAGCAGAAGCAAAGTTGCGACCGATGTTAGGGTAGCGCTGGACCACCTCAGAGACACACATGCGTGGACCACCGTTGCTGCTATGCCATCTCCAATCCGGTTCGATTGCAGGACCACGCCTTGGTTCCTTGCGTGCCTGATCAGACCCCGTCGACAGTGTCCAACAGTCGATTTCTTCGGATCTTCGGTAGCTGATGGGACCATGCATTCGCCAGGGACGGACAGTTCAACGGGCCCGACCTCTTTCAGGTAAGGTCTGAGAGGGTACCTGGATGATCGTCATAGTCACGGCCCCCATTTGGCGGAGCAAAAGGAACGTTAGCGTGTCAACTTGGGAGCGGGTCCCGCACAAGCGCCTGGGAGCCTCCGTACGTGCCTGAGCTGTCTCCCTACCTCCCCAAGCAGATCGGCCAGTACCTTGCTTCAGGGCTCCAGAGATTAGTTCGGTGCAGCACTGCCTTGTTCAGCTGTACAGGATAGTTTTCTGGCGCATCAAGGAAGACGAATACAAACATGATCCGCATTGTTTGTTGATGTACCGACAGTCAAAGGTACTTTGTGATCCTGTAACTCCCAAGGCAAACAATCGTCGTGTCACATCATGATCTATATGAACCGTTGTCTGTCCGAAAGGCCGTCCATCGCTATTTCTACTCATCATGACCTTATCGTAGACTGTTGTCGCATCAGAAACTGCCGCCTCCCAAGACACCTCCCAATTAATCATGGCATGTTATCACCCCTGCAACGTGAGGCAGACACCCGTTGTCATCGTCAACAACCCAGCCCAAGGCGGCCATCATGCGGGGCTGCACAATAGTAAGCGCACCCTGGAGTTCCGCCGCGCAGACTGACAGACTGGGGCTTTGTAGACTGCGAGCAGTATCGATACCAATGTGGGCAGTATGACCATCACATGGCAGCTCCCATCAACTTGTAAGCTTAGTGCAGAGAAGACCACCACATGCAAGGCCATGGACCTCGCAGGAACGCAGTAATGATCCTGACACTTAGTGAGCGTATAGCCAGCTCAATGGACCAGTCACTGGTCCACTTGTTAGCGGCTGTGGAAACGATAGCAGCTACTGGTCGGTCGACCAGCATGGTGGCCTGGCACGACAGTCGTACCGACGATATCCGTACTCAGCGATGGCCTTCGGGCCAGGGCGGCAGTGTCCTTGTCCGGCGTGCCCTGTTAACCGGTATGCGGATGATGGTTTCCCCGATCACGGCGACGTCCTAGTTTCATGGGGCGACCCAACAACGTTCCGTAGGTTCTGGTGACGAAAGCATAGATGCATTATACTGTACACAGCGTCCGAGACCTTGGTACACTCGCATCCTGCGTGCTAGTCTGAATACGCGAAGCCAGAAAGACGCCCCTGGCTCTACCTATGATCCCATCGTCTATCTTGCCGCCTCCTCCATTCTGACGCAATACATTTTCCTGTTTTATGTCTTCTTCGGCCTTTCCCGAGTCCCTCGAGCCTTGGCGGTCCAACGTCCTAGATCACTCTCCTCACATGTGGATGGGCAGAGAGTGGGTGGCCATGGCAGCCTCCTTGAAGGCCTCGGCGAGGGTAGGGTGTGCGTGGCACGTACGAGCGATGTCCTCGCTAGACGCACCGTACTCGAGAGCCAGCGTAGCCTCAGCGATCATCTCGCCGGCGTTGGGGCCGACAATGTGAACACCAAGCAGGCGGTCCGTCTCAGGATCCGCCAGCATCTTGACCATACCCTCGGTGTCGAGGTTGGTCTTCGCGCGCGAGTTGGCGCTGAAAGGGAAGGTACCGATACGGTAGGGAATGTTCTGGGACTTCAGGTCCTGCTCGCTCTGGCCGACCCAAGCGACCTCGGGGTGGGTGTACATGACCGAGGGAATGGCGGCGTAGTTGACGTGGCCGTGGCCCTTCTTGATGTACTCGACAACAGCGACAGCCTCCTCCTCGGCCTTGTGCGCCAGCATGGGACCGAAGGTAACATCGCCGACGCAACGAATGTGGGGGATCTTGGTACGGTACTCCGAGTCGATGATGACACGGCCGCGGTCGTCCAGCTCCATACCGATGTTCTCGAGTCCGAGTCCGCCGGTGTAGGGCCTGCGGCCAATGGCAACAAGGACGACATCGGCGTCAATCTAAAGGCATGTCGATTAGCTATTATGACCATAAAATGGAACCAGGAGGACATGTGCTTACGGTCTCGGGCTTGCCGCCCTTGGCAGAGTCGACCTGAAGCTGGACCTTCTCGCCGGAAGCGTCACCGCTGACGACCTTGGTGCCGAGCTTGAAGTTGATGCCCTGCTTCTTCAGGATCTTCTGGGTGGCCTTGGAGATCTCAGTGTCCATGCCAGGGCCGCCAATCTGGTTGAGGAACTCAACAACGGTAACCTTGGATCCCAGCCTGGACCAGACGGAGCCCATCTCGAGACCAATGATACCGCCACCGATGACAACCATAGACTCGGGAATCTTCTCGAGCTTGAGAGCGCCAGTGCTGGTGACAACGCGCTTCTCGTCAATCTCAAGGCCGGGGAAGGGAGTAGCCTCGGAACCGGTCGCGATCAGGATGTTCTTGCCCTTCACAGTGGTCTCGCCACCGTCGTTCAGCTCAACCTTGATCTCGTGCTCGTTGACGAAAGAGCCGGCGCCCTTGATGTACTCGACGCCGTTCTTCTTGAGGAGGAACTCGACACCCTTGGTCAGGCCCGAGACAGCGGTGTCCTTCGCCTTCATGAACTGCTCGAGGTTGATGCTGACGTCGCTGACATCAATACCGCGGTTCTTTGTGTCGTGCTTGATGGTGTGGTAGATGTGAGAGTTGTTGAGGAGAGCCTTGGAGGGAATGCAGCCGACGTTGAGGCAGGTGCCGCCGAGGGTGCCGCGCTTCTCGATACAGGTGACCTGAGAGGCATAAGATTAGCGTGCCGTCTGTGGGAGAGGTGCCTAGGGATGCGCAGTACCTTCATGCCCTCCTGTCCAGCCTTGATGGCGGCGACGTAGCCAGCAACGCCACCACCAATGATGATCAAGTCCTTCTCCTCTGTTCACGAAACTATCAGCACGGCTGGGGCCAAGAAAAATAACTGCTTCGACGCTTTGCTCGAATGGAGGGCAACGAACCAGAGGCGGACGCGTATGTGCGGCTCCATCGCGACAGTTGGGAGGGAGCGGTAACGGCGGGCAGACTGGTACCTAGTCAGCGACGAACGACGCGAGTGATTTACGGGTGGTGATGGCAACGAGCTCGGCAGACCAAGAACACTCGGCGTAAGGGGGGGGTCCAGAAGAATGCAAAAGGGATTGAGGCATTGGAACTCACGAAGACTGCTTGAAGGCCGACCTTACGGCAGAGCGCGGTAGCAAGCGACGGGAAAGCATCTTGTCTGTGTGTACCGATCGAAACGTCGGATGGGCAAGAAGGGGGATGGAGATGAGGAGTCTTAACTATGATTGTCGGACAAGCTCTCCACGAGAGGCAGGATAGGATCTCGAGGTTAGACACAACCACCAGTAGGTGTCTCGCTCGCTCAGGGACCCGCAAAAACGGCCGATGGAGAGCCTTCATTGGATCGGGACTGCGGCTGGTTTTTTTATTCCGTCCAATGGGACTTGGTTTGAGCAAACCGTTGGGAGGCAATTGAGGCGGGGGGTCCAAGGCTGGACCACCAACCCGACTCTACCCGTGCCAAAACCGCCTGACATTACCCTCCGGGCGGCGAAAGGCCATCTGGTGCATAGCCGATTACACATCCATAAAGATAGTGGTCATGAGCATCGTCACCAGTCTCCCATGGTCACGAGATGCGCATGACAAAACATATCCAATGCCTCCGGCCATGATGCTCTCGATTGAATACTTTGCCACTGTCTGGCTGACGGATCTATTCCTCTTCCCGCAGCTCTAGCTGTTCCAGCATGTCCTCGGCCTTTCTACACGCCTCTTTGACTCTGGCCGTCTCCTTCTTTCCATCGACCAGATCTGTTTTACGGACCTTCTTACGGAGAAAGTACCTCAAACTCCTTGCGAACTCCGGCGCCACGCCATTAGCGAATATTTTGCCGAGACTCGTCTCTATGTTTTTTGGGTCCTTCTTGATGCAGCCCTGGAGAACAGTGATGAGCATCACCTCCACAAACAAACCCGTCGTGTCCTTGACGTAAGCCATGTTTAGAGGTTTCAGTACGGTCAATGATACCGATGAGTCCATGACGAGGTTGCCGAACATCTTGGCCGTGTTGATGATTCGGCGGTTGTCCGTCATTTCCTCGTCTTCCTCTTCCGGTTCCTCTCCGAAGAGAGGTTCTCCAAGTCTGCGGAAGAATGTCCACAGGGTATCCTGGAAAGCATACTTGATCCTCGAATCACCGCAGAACTTGCTCGCGACCAGCGTATAGTACGGGTTGTAGTGCTGCTGGGCCCCGGAGCACTGGACCAGCACGTTGGAGACTTCCCGACGGTTGTACTTATTGAGACGCAGCTTCAATATCCGCAGGTAGGCATCGTTAAAGTCTGCTGCCGCGACAAGGGCGATGAAGATGGCGCGGCGTACGTCCGTGTTCATGCCCTGCTCGCGTGCGAGATCGGCGTAGTTCGGCATATCTAGTCCGTCATCCAATATCACATCATCGTCCGACGCCACCTCCGCCGAGCCGGCGGCGCCGGCGCTGGCTGCGGTCGGTTCGGCCTTCTTGCTATCGCCGCCCTGCCCAGCCCACTTGGCACCAACCAGCCACCACTTGCCCGACTTGTCTGCAGCCTGAATGTCATCAAGACCCATGCGGAGCGGTTCGGTGGCCTTGAGCTTTGATGTGTCCATCGTGCCGAGATGCTTCTTCATGCGCGTGACGTGCTCATGGAGGACCGCTAGATCCTGCGCGCCGGTCTTGAGCTTGTTGTTTTTGAGATCGCTGATCGTCTCAATCATGAACTTGGTTCGCACGGAGAGGTTTGCCTCGCCGATCTTGGCTACAGCTGGCCGAATGAGGCTGACGATATCCTTGAGCGCCAACGGGTCATCCTTCCGAAGCTGCGCCCCGACCAGTCGAACGATACGGAGCAAGATCTCAGCATTGAGCTCTGACAAGTCTTGGAGCAGGAATTTGATGTAGTCGAACAAAATCTTGCCCGACACGACCTTGAACTCGTACATCTCTGCCAGCACCGTGATCAAGTTTGATGTCTCCTTGGTCGGGGTGCGGGCCTCAGCAGCCATCTTTTCTGCCGCATCGTGCTCTCTCTGGAACCGTTCAACCACAGCTGTGACGAAATGGGCGGCAAAGTCGACACCAACGACCTTGTACAAGGCTGCTATGAACCCGGCAGAGAGAACCAAGAGTGTGTCTGGTTTGCTTGTCGCATCGCAGATTTGCGCCATCAGCAGGTCCGAAAGGATATCCGTGACAATGCCGCGTGGGTGTTCGCGGTAGATCTTCTCAATCTCTCCCACAATGGAGACAAGGTTCGCTTCGGTGACACGGTTCACAGGACCCTGGGTCTTTCTCCGAATCTGAGCCTCGAGATCCGCATCCTTGCCGAGTGCCTTGCGAAGGGACGGCGGTATGTACTTGCCAGCACTCTCGCCGCCAGCGGTAGCCGTGACTGGCGCGACGTACGGGTTCTCTCTGACTCTGGGCTTATTTTTTGTTGGTTCATCCGAGTCGGAGTCAAATCCGCCAAATGATCCTGCGTCGTCATCGTCGTCGTCGTCTTCTAGCAGGTCCGAGAGGCCGTCGTCCATGTCCGAATCGTCCTCGTCCGCCTCCCCTTCGCTCTCCACGGGTACTTCTGCCTTTGCCGCTTTCCTCCGTTTCTTGGCCAACCACTCGTCTGCCTCCCGCTTGGCTTTTGTTCTCTCGTCTCGCTCGCTGTCGTCTTCGGCTCCGTCACTGTCCAGCAGGGCGTCAAGGCCATCTTCGTGGAAGGACTTGGGCAGGGCCTTGCGACCCTTCTTGATGCCGAGTTTACGCTCGAGGTCTTCGATCTCGGCATCATCCTGCGCAAACTTGTCCTTCAACTTGCGCGACGTCTTGGCCGTCTTCGCGACCGGCGAGACCGGCTCGTCGTCGTCATCGTCGTCATCCTCCTCCACAGGGGCAATTCTCTTCCTCTTTCGCTGATTTGTGTCGCTGGCCGCTTTTGCGCCCTGCGCTCCCCGTTTCGTCGGAATGGTCGCAGCATGGCCGCCGTCCGAGTCGTCCTCGGAATCGTCCGGTTCTTGGCGAGACGGCCTGGGAGGTGCAGCTTTGACGGGTGGCCTTCGGGGTGCTGTCGGCCCCTGGCGCTTCTGTGATCGCTCGGCCTTGCGTTTGTCCCGTCGGTTTTGGCTCTGGCTCTTCCAGCGACTGTTGTCGCGCGGCGTTCCTTTGGGTTCTCCAGAGACTCCCATCTCCTTGAGGAGATTGCCCGGAAGGGCGAGCTTTGGCGGCATGTTTCGGTTTCCGATTCTCTCTGCAATCGAGGGGTGGTGTACAGTCTGCCGGGCGTATCGCCACTTTGCTGCTTGTTTGCTGCGACACCAGATGAACCTGGTCTTCTTCTTCTTCTTCTCTCCGACAACTTTTTAGCGGGGCCCTCCCCTCCACCCGAGTGGGCCTACGCTGTGCAGCCAGGATTGGGCGTCTCTGCCCCGCCGTACAACAGACCCACAGCGTACGGCATCGCGGGGTCCCAGGGCTTCCATGCGAATCAAGATCCCATCCTGGGGCTGCCCAAAGAGTTCAACCCCCGTCCACGTCCACGCCACCTTCCCAGCACGCTGTCACCATGGCGTCGCACCTGAGCAACGACGAGGTAAGAAACCGTCAGTCCCTCACGCGCGCGGCAAGACCACTGACATGCGCCCTCCGGCACAGTTCTTCGCCGGGCTCCACGAGCTGTTCAACCACCGCAAGGGCAAAGACCACGGTGCCATCTACCTCGTCCAGAAGAGGCGTACGTCCCCGCGTCCCCTGCTCCCGCGATCGCACCAGCCAGGCGCGATCGAGTCATCCTCTCCCCTCCCCTCCCCCCTCTTTCTGACGTCCCGACGATGCAGTCACCCACGGCCAAGACGCCGTCGCCGCGCCGACAGAAGAGGACCCCTTTCCCGACACGCACCCCTCGAAGCCGCTCCCCATCATCGTGAGGGCGACAAACGCCAAATCCAGCCGGAGCGACAAGAAAAAGGTCAAGCTCTCGACGATTGTCGAGCCCGGCGCCATTGACGACTTCTTCGCGCGCTACGCAGAGGTGTGCAAGACGGGCATGACGGCGCTGAAGCCGCGCGACAAGAGCAAGAAGAAGGCCAAGGCGAAGAAGAGAAAGGTCGGCGCGCCGGCGGCGCCCTGAGGGAACTGCCGTGTTGGAAGGCGGAGCGGGGAGGCGGGGAAGAGGGCGGATCTGCTGCTTGCTTGCTGCTGTTGCTGCTGCTGCTGCTGCCATGTGGACATAGAGATTTGCTTAGGATTTCTGGCTATTCAGTCCCAGACGAAATCATGAGGATACCCATTCTGACCAAGAAGGAGATAAAGCCTGTATGGGACTATTCGGGATGCGCAGTCTCTGCATAGCATGTTCAGCCGCTGCCCATCACCTGAGCTTCGGGTCGAGCTGGGCTGCCACATCCTCCTCGTACTCCTTGAGCATCGCCGCCAGCCCTACGCATGTTGCGCACTGCCTCCTCACCGGCGACTGTGGATCCCCAGCGTACATACAGAGGCTCTCCGGACACTCTGGGTCTGTCCCGTTCGGCTCGCCCTCGTCGCAGCTCGCCAGTCTTCTTCGTTGCTGCCACCTCATCTTGCACGTCGGACATCGATACGAGTGCACCTGGCACATGGTTTTCGCTGCTGCCACGGACAGGGCCTCGTCCACCTTGGATGGAACACTTGTCTGTGGAAATCAACTATATCCTGAAAGCCAAGTCGTTAATGTCTCGGTTGGATGTATTCGACTGGGTACAGGAAACAAAAATTGCTTTATGTTCCTGGAACGATCGACGAACTGGTCCGCGGTGATGGATGGCCACGCGGCGATCAGTCGGGCATAGACTTTTGAAGGACCGATGTTATCATATTGAACACGTTGGACCGGATCCTGAAACAGGCTGCGTACCACAGCTCCATGACATGTGCTATCAAACTAGGAGAGTGAATGAGCTGCCTGTGAGGGCCGTCGCCGGGCCGCCACGTCCATGCTCAAGAGCACGATGAATGACAGTGACAACATGTGAGCCATCCAATTCAGGGGTTAGAAACAACAGAAGCCCGCGCGAGCACGCATCTGGCAATGGCAGTGGATACATCTGCAACACCGAGGAGCGGATGTATTGTGCCTTCTCAGGCATGACGCGAGTCACAGCTCTCTCCATACCTAGGTAGGGAGGCTGGCCCAGTATCAGAACGGAACGCTGTGCGATGAAAACCTGCCGCCTCAGCAGTGGTCAAACCATTCTCCCCAGAAAGAAGCCGACCCGAGCAAAGAAGTGGCCCAGCAATTGAACTTTTGTGTCATCGGATCATCATCATCACCACGGTCATATCGCCAACATCACCCGCCAGAAGACGCTGCGCCGCGCCTTGCCAGTCACCGTGCCAGACCGTCGTCATGCGCCTTGACCATCCAAAACTCGCCATGTCCTACAACCTCCCGGATCAAAGTTCAACTGCTATTTGACGTACAATCTGGATTATCTCTCACTCAGTCGCCCCCCTCCCCGGCTCCACTATATGCCCTGCGACCGGAACCTGCGAAGGAAAAGAAAAGAAAAAGACAACATGCGCCGATAGTTTTTTTTTCTGCGTAGCTTCTTGAATGCCTGTGGACGACAGACACCATCACCCTAGATGGCCTCAATCAAGTCCATCGAGGCGTGTCCAGGCGTAACGAAGGCTATGGCTGTGCAACTATCATAAAGGTGGCCGTGGAGAAGCTAGGAAAATCGGGCCTTTCCCTGAGGGGGAAAGTCCCTTTGAGCTCACTTGTAGGCAGACAAGACAGACAAGGCAGTCTTGCGCAGCTGCGTTGGTGAGTAGCATCTTACATGATCTGGTCCTGGGTCAGGCCGGCATGGGCATCTGTATCCATGCTGTCGCCACCGGCACCGGGGGGGCTCAGGTATCTGACGAAACTCAGGCCCAGAGGGCGTCCACCATACTGGTATCCTTGGAACTTCTGGATGGCGGTGTCGGCCGTGTCAGCAGCATCAAACTGCACGACACCAGTGCCGCGCGAGCGACCGCTTGGCTCGTACTGGATCTCGGCCTTCTCAACCTTGCCGATGGTGGTGAAGAGCTCGACGAGATCCTCGTTGCTAGTGGACCAGGGAAGCTGCACGATTGATTAGCAAGTTTGGCAAGGTAGTTGGAGGTGATAGGCAGTCGGGCCACGTACGTTGCGCACGTAGATCACCTCGCTCTTGTCGGTGCCGGCAGTGGCGTAGTCGGTGAACGGGTTGGGGGGCACGGACGCGCCAGGGTTCACGCCGGGGCCGCCGGGCGCACCGCCGGCGTTGAAGCCTCCACCGAAACCACCGCGGCCACCGCCGAAGCCGCCGCCGAAGCCGCCACGCGGACCGCCGAAGCCGCCGCGACCGCCAAAGCCGCCGCCGAAGCCTCCGCGCATGCCGCCGCCGAAGCCGCCACGGCCGCCGAAGCCCATGGGTCCGCCAGCTCCAGCGAAACGGTCTTCGCGAACTTCCAGAAGGCGTCCTTGCCAATCGTAGCCATTGAACTGCTCAATGGCAATGCGAGCATCGTCAGGACTCTCGAACATGACGATACCGGTGCCCTTGGGGCGGCCATCAGGGCCAAGGTGGACATCGGCGCGAATCACAGCGCCGTTACGTGCTGGCAGCGGGAAACAATGTAAGTGCCTGTGCGAGGCTTTGGGGAACGCAAAGTGGGGACATTTTGGTACTCACCGGCCTGTCGGAACAGATCCTTGAGATCCTGCCATCCGACCGTGTAGGGCAGCTATAGTGTGCTGTCAGCAAACACGCGCAGGCATCAGGAGCGCCAGTGCTCGCCAAGGATCGGGGGACACATACGTTGGTGATGTAGATCTGACGGCCGCCGCCGCCGCCACCGCCGCCGCCGGCATTGAAACCACCGGGCCCACCAAAGCCACCAGGGTTCATGCCGCCGTGGCCGCCGGGGCCGCCAGGACCGCCGTAGCCACCACGGGTCGCAGTGGCGCCAATGAATCGGGGTTCCGCTTCGCGGTCCTACAGAAAGGTGAATGCATCAGCCGTCGATCATCGGTCGAACCAAGAGAGTGAAAACATACCTCGCGGACATAGATGAGTCGACCCATGAGGTTCTGGTTGCTGAGGGTTGCCACAGCGTTCTGGGCTTGTTCCCGTGTCGCGTATTCCACAATTCTGCGTTGAGGACCCCGTCAGTCTACTGTGCGTTGGCATGTCATGGGTTGGCGTGGCGAAACTTACCCGCATCCCTACAAACACCAATAGGCGCGCGCCCAACCCGTCAATCCAACGATTCCATCAAGGCCGGAGGGAGAAAAACCACAAAGGGAAAACCAGCCATAGACTACGTGTAAAAGCCCACCTTCGACATTCCATTAGGAAGTAGTAGCACATCGGCAAAGAGAACCTCTCCAGCTGCAGACATGAAAACCCTGGTCAGCCACTTGCTCGCCAGCAACAGACGCCTTGACGTGACCCACACTGTCTCATGAAGTCCTTGAGGTGATGCCATTTGACGTCGTAGGAGAGGTTGCCGACATAGACGCGGCGGTCCTGCTGGGAGCTGTCGCGAATGTTGCTCATCATCTGTTCGCGGGCGACGGCGCGTTCTTCGTAGGAGCGATGTTGCGGAGGACCTCCGTATCCGCCGGTGGATCCTCCGGCAGGTGCGCCCGTTCCAGACATGGGAGAGCGGTCTCGGCGTCCGCGGTAATCGTCTCCCCTGCTACGGGAGCGGCTACGGGGTGAGAAGGAGCGGCGCCTTGCTGTGGTGGAACGACCGGGGCTTCGCGAACGGCCTCGACGCGGAGATCGGGACCTCTCTCGCTAGTCTCAGTCAGCAAAGATGTGCTGGCTTGACTTGGTGTCCTTAGCAGTTCGCGAATTGTACAGAAAGACGTGGGCTGAGACTGGCGCCAACACGCCACAGCCCGAGGGCCGAGGGGGTGATTCAAGGGAAAGCGCAATCGTTGGCGGCGCGCAAGGCGGCTGTAGATCCGACCGAAGTGATCCGGTTTCTACGCCGGCCGTCTCACCTGGGGGGGGAAGGAGGGGGAGGAAAAGACAAGAGGTGGGCAGACTTACGGAACGATATGTGTCGTCGGTGTTGTCGGCTGTAAGGTAACGCGCCTGGTCAGAATATAGGCCTCGCAAATTTGATGTGAGACTGCTGTCGAGGAGGGCAGAAGAAAGCAAAGAAGGAGGACTGTGATGCCGCGGTAGGAATGAGGCCAGGTGAAAAGTAA